GGTTTTATCAGCTGAAACCGCCTTGCATATCCTTTGATTATATGCAAAATTTACCAGTTCCCCATATTCGAACAAATGAAGTATTTTACCATACGCCATACAGATGTGATACTATGTTTTTGGAATTCATAACGAGGGAAACGACGAGGCAACGATGTATTGCTATGACGAAACCATTGCGAAAAAGGGACAAAATGAAGTAGCTTCTCACTTTTTAAAAAGCCATAAGGTGACCACAAATAATTTAATTTTGATCAGCGATGGGTGCGCTGGACAACATAAGAATTATGTTTTAATGCGTTTTTTGTATATGTTGGTTCACTGTTTGAGAATGTTTGACTGCATTATCCACGTCTTTACAATCAGAGGACATTCTTTTTTGTCAAATGACAGAGATTTTTCTCTCATTGAGAAAAACAAGAAAACCGCAACCGTTCCAAGTACCTTCAGAATGGGACAAGATTATAAAGGAAGCAAGCGAAAAACCATCCCCATATGATCTTTTCAACGTGCAATCAAACATGATATTTGATATATCAAACTACGTCTCCTTACTTTCTGAAGAACTGAAAACCACCAGTAAAAATCAAAACAGTAGGAATGTATCAGACTATGAAGGCTTTCACGGCCGGTAAAATCATATATGACCGGTACCGATAAGCCGAAATGTTTTTCGGTCTTTGAAGCCGTGGGCCATGAGAATTTCTTCTTGACGTTTCGTCCACAACTGTGGTGGACATTATCAAAGGCGATGAGGCAGTGGGCGAAGTGATCTCCCGTGCTTTCCAACTAAGACTGGTTCAACTACTGCTTTTGAACACATTTATTTCAGACAAGTTTTACATACTTCTTACTGCTACTTATTCTACGGATAGGTGCAACTACTGGATCCCCTGTCGTATTTAGGCGGCCCGGCCGTGTGAGCTCATGCGTGAGGAGTGGGCGGGGCTTCAATGGATTCGGCGCACATGCGGTTTGCCGCAAAACGCGTTTCCCATCTGGATTAAGGGCCGTTACTTCTTCTTTCCTATTAAAATTGTTATCATGTTTAAAGATTTCAATGGCCTCTCTGGTTAGTCTCGGGTAATACCGTTGAGATTGGTGCAAGATGTCCCCTTCATCGAAACGTATTTGGTAGCCGTCTAGAAGTGCGTGCTCCGCTACTGCTGATTTTTCTGTTTGTCCTAATCTGCAACTTCTATTATGCTCAGTGATCCTCGTGTTTACACTACGTTTTGTGGTGCCGATAGATGCTCTGCCACAACAGCAATCGAAACAGAGCTCTGTAGACTCCTGGTGCTGATAAAGGATCCCGTTTGTCATTGGCCGAGCTCAAAGTCTGTTGAATTGTTCGAGTTCCATGTTACACCCTTACGCTCATCATGCGTATCTGTTTTCTCAGGATGACCTCCACTGTTTCTTGGACGAATTGCTCTATTAAACTCGTTCTTGCTGTATCCATTCCAACGAAAGGCCCTTTCTAGGTGTTTCAATTCTCTTTCTAACTCAGATGGTTCGCATATAATATTTTTTTATGAGCCGTTTTCTAAAGAAAAAAAATTCCTGAAAAACAACAATTTGTCATGCAGTTTTTAATTCTTATTTTATTTATGGATTCAATTTCTTTCTTGAAATGCGTCTTAAAATATTTAAGATGCCTTCTCAAATGACCTGAAAATTAAATTCTGATTTATTTTCCTGACTGCGTGTACTGTTGTTATAATATTCTTATCTTTCCTGGGTCTCAGTCAAAGTGTGAAGTAAAACGCTTGAAGAACGCTGTTGTCTTGCCCAAACAGAAGAAAATAAACGATGTTCAAAACTTTTACTTCACACTTTGACTGAGACCCAGGAAAGATAAGAATATCATAACTAAAAATTGAAAACAGGTTTTGTAGGTTGATAAGCAACAAGAACAGTTTTTGTCGATATGCCACAATTGTTGTTTTTTGACAAATGTTGCTTTTCCCAGAAACCCCTCAATTAGTTCGTTTAAACTTGTTTGAGTAAAACTGATTGAAAATGTTACCTGGTTCCAGCCCTGTGTTAAGTGAGTACTCGCAAAGCCGACAAACGAAGCATTATAGACCCCGAAGTCCTCCAAGTCTAAATGTGTTGGGTCTAATTCTTTTAAGCGGTAGTTTTTACATTCTTGAAGAGTTCGAGTTCGGATTTAATTATTGCGTTCGAAATATTTAGAGGAAAATTAGGGGTGGATTTGTAGTGCAGAAGTTTCAGCTAATTTGAGCCCCTTTGGGCGACATTAAAACGGCCGTTAAAGGTGCATTCCGATGTCTTTAGTAGGACTACTGGCTTAATTGGACTGGTTTGCCCTTAATTAACAACCCGAAGTGAAGGTAGTAGTTGGTTTGTAGGCTTAAAGAGACAATCTGAGAATAAATAACATAATCTAATACTTTGAAAGGCAGCAATTTTATATCGTTTATTGACTTAGTGGTAGAAAATTTTAATAAAAATTAGACTATGAAAAATGCAAGGAAAGGTGAGGATAAATTGATGAACCAGTTGGGATGTAGAAGCAAAAAAGCACCACGAGACAGACAAGCAAAAGGAAGGTGAAATGTCATTCGTATATGAGTTCTACCGTAAGAAATCTATTCCGAAATTTTCAAAACCCCGTGAGTCCGCTTTGCTAAAATTACAAAACATCTGAGCATTATTTCATTAAAATATCCAATTAAAACCAAAACCTCCGCTTGCGTCCATCTACAAATTAACCAATTTCAGTGTTTCTATCGCTTCTAACATAATAACCGATAAATTATCAAATAAAATGTGCCATTGTTGCTGTACATTAATTAATCAATTAACAATACAAGGAAGTGTTTTTGCTAAATTCAATCGTGAGCCAAGCAATAAAAAATTCAAATTTCAACCAAGATGGAAATTAGCCAGCCAAGCACATGACTCAGCCAACAGGTGTCTGGTTGATGGTGCTTTTCTTTTTCTGGTCAACCCTTCCTTCAAACACCTGGTCGATACTTACCGTTTTCGGTTATTTTTATCGATCGCGTAATCAGAAGAAACTTGATACGGTACGATCGTTGATAACGTGCCCGGTTGGGCTTCTTGCGGATATTCGACATGGGCGTTCGAAGAATGTCTTCATTAGGATATCTTCGTATTCATCAAGACATTCGGGCGACTTGCCATATCTTCAAACTAGATCGTAACTGCAACTATGTTGGTTTTCCTTGCCCATGTTTATCCTTTTCGTGTTGCAGTTGAGACGACCTGAGAATAATAAGATTTGGCGGGTTCATCGCCAATAATCGCAAATTGTGAAAAAATCGCAAATGATGAGTATTTGATGTTTTGTTCAGTGATTTTAAACGGTAACGATTCACAAGTGCGAAAACGTAAAATTACGAACCAAATCTTTGAACAAGTGGAATATGAATAAGACAGAGCCTGAGAGCTCACATATTTTAGATGTTCTTCCGTCTCTTCTAGATTACCTTTATATCGGATGATAGTTGATACGCATATTTGTTGGGATGACAAGAAAGTAATTTCGGCTTTAGTATGAAATAAATAAAACTCAATTTTCTCCATATACCTACTTTGATGATATTTTGGTGTCTTTCTGGTAACTTCATAATCCCGCACTCATAGAATGTCTGGTCCTTAAAAGTCCTTAAAAGTTTTGTAAATTCGAAATGAAACGTAATCTCATGGTGCAAGATCTGTTATGGGGGATGCGACATCACTTCCCAACGAAGCTTCAAACTAAATGGTGACATTTGGTAAAGAAATTTGGTTGAAGAAACGTGAGAGTGTATAGTTTATGGTGAGATTGTTACAAACATGAAGAAAAATTTATCGTTGTTAGGACGAAATGGTTGTGTTGTCACCAACGACATAGTGCAGACAGAAGAGCTCATTTACATTTGCTCATCGCTACTCTGAAAGAAGACGACAAAATCCGCCTAGTGGTTAAAAAAACCAATGCTTTCCAAAAGATAACCGAAACATTAATAAAACTACCAATAAGCTTCTTAAGAAATCGTCTCCCGCTTCATAAATGATCGAAAAGAGTCTGAGGCCTATACAGGGAGATTCAAAATTGGAGTCGTTCCTCTGGGGGAGTTGTCTGGGGGTGTCTTTGGAGAACAGGAAAATTAGTAAAAAAAATTAAGAGTTATTAAAAACTCAGATATTTGAAAAAAACTGGATCAGAAGGATGGCAACAATGTTTTTCAAGGTAATATGGTTAATTAACAGTACGTAAATACCTGTTCCTTCGTAACTATTACAAACTCCGGTAGCCATGGATAAACATGAAGCAAAGAAAATAAAAGAGACAATAACATGGGTTGAGGTTAGGATAACGGTGTCACCTTGCGCTCAGTGCTGCGACAAAACAGCCCCCCAAGTGCTGCCATCTTTTTGGGGTAAATGAGTGATATACCTAAATAGGTCACAACTGTCACCCAAAACCACCTGTTAAAGGTTATGTATCATTGATCAATATTATTGATCAAATAAAATACAATTCTGTTGTTAAAACACAAGTGTTTCCAAGAGCAATAAGTGCTGCCCGTTTCACTCCAAACATCTTTGTGTCCCAATCACTTTGAGTCTGGGCTCATATTTTGAGCAGCTTCTCGTGTTCGGTTAATTAACTGCTGTTCAATTTGAACCGGTGTTCGGAAGATCAGATATTTAATGTGTTCTAGTGTCCTGTGCATATTACATACATGGTAGGAATGTAGGACCTTCCTCGGGGGAGTTATCGGGACAATTAAGTATCCGGCGTTTGGGATAGTGCAGTTGTCGTGCAATGCTTCAAGTACCCCTGGAAGGCTCAGCTGCAATAATCTCCAATACCTGTTCATCTAGGTGTGGAAACCGAGCACCTTTAGATTGTCCACTATCTGCGTCCATTTCGGGCCACTCGTCTAGTGTGTAGCCTTTTGCTGGTGTAAGTTCTTACAGCTTCTGCTATGTTACTGTGGCATTCCCCGTGACTAATCGCATATTCGCAAATTTGCTATTGGTTTACATTTTGTGAAAGAAGCTTCAAAATAAGCCACAGTTTGACAAATGCTTGTTATTATTGGCAAAGGTTGTCTACCTGTAACTATCTGTTAATGACAAAAAACATCATTGCCGCTTTGACATTTCATCAAAAAATTGTAGAAGAGTACTTTTTTAATATCAAAAATGTTCGTAATTTGAAAAAAAGATCGTAATTTTGCTTTTCGAATGCTTAAGTATTCCAATATGCTACCAATCAAACGTGAGACCTTTTCAAAATAATGTTTAATAACAAAGTTGAAATTCGATCTTCAACTGTTAATATCTTCTTGAAATTTTCGGAAAAAAAATTTTCAATATTTTTCTCGTGCTCTCTAAGTGGGCCCTTATATACCTACCCTTAAAAGGAATAACGCCAATTTTGAATCACCCTGAATACCTAACTATAACTACTATGTCCAACGTGGAGGACTCCATGGAACACATTAAACGGTGGTTTCCTAACAATATTTCCAAAATTTTTGAACACTCGCCACTTTCACGAAAAAAACTCATGTTTTCAACCAATTCATGGAGATCTTCGTGCAAAGAGCGCTGGACTGACAGAGAAAAGACTTAAGTGTTGGCTCCCATATGTCGATGATGTGCGTTTGGTTTGAATGGCTATGAATCAGGAAAATAGGAGAGTACTCGAGGTACTTACGAGGGTGGAACCACTTTAGCCCCACCACACTTCTGATGGCTTTTCGTCTTTGTACTTAACCTGAAACAAACTGTTCTTCATTTTTATAACAACTTTTCTATACACTTATGATGATTACTCGTAGCAACTAATAAGCCAACTGAGGTATGAAGATTAATTGCAGCCTCAATTGGCTAATGAAAAATGAAAAATGCAAAAGGGAAATAAACCTTATTGATTTATCTGAGTAGATTAGTCAAAAGGCATTATCGGCCATCAAAAAGTGGTATCATTACTGAAACCATCCACTGATCTGACATTAGTGACATTTAACGACTGTCCCGGCCATCAGAAAGGCCAGATAAAAACCCGTGTGAATTATTAGGAATTCATGTTGTCCTGACTAATTTGACCCGGGCGTCTTTTGTTTCTCAGCGCACATTCGATTGTTTTCGATGTGTTTATCAGTGTGCCGTAGTGGGCCTTGAGAGGTCCGAGATGGGACCGTACGATAAGGCGATGGGGAATGGCATTTTTTAAGTTTTTCGGGTTCAGATAAGAGGAGATTTGTGTTTTCGAGCGACCGGATCTGGGAAGGACAACTCAACTACTGCGGTAGAGTTTTGGCCTACAAGGGCCTGTTCATAAATACCAACACAACCATTAAAATGTAAAAAATGTTAGTTCTATGATGTTTGCAGATCCAACGAGCTCGTTACGGTGCTTCCTCGTAAAGCCTTTCCAGTTAACATTTTCGCAACCTTGTAGCCCAAAAGTTTTAATTGTAATTCCTCAAATTTAATTGCCTGAATGTTGTCTATTAGGCCATTATTATTAGCAAAGGCAAAGTCTTCAATTAAAGCTCCTACCACTTTGATATCACGCAATAACAAAGTTAGTTCTTTTAAGAAGGTCCTGGTAGCGTGTTCCATGCAAAGAATACGGTGGTTTGAGCCGATTAACACTCAGTGTGAAGTACTAAGCGGAGAGGATTTTTACCACCCGGGACATTGTTTATAGCGCTGCATTAAGGGGTTCAGATAAAATTTTATTTTCTAATAAAATTTGTCGTTTTATGTCGTTTTTAGTCGGGGTCCACTTAATACCCGTAATACATAACGCTGTTTATAATGCCGCATCTGATAAAACGCCTTAAACATTTTTATTAATTTATTAAATTATACACAGGTCATTATTGAATTTGAAACTGAATGTGAATCGAAATGTTTCATGGCATTGCCAGCCGAAGCCGTTTATCTGGAGACTTCTGTTCAACTGTTTGGATCAGCTTGCCTAAGTATTGAAAAGGCATTTAGCCTATGTTTAACGCCACCGTTGAGAACGCAAACACCGCTACCAAAAAACCTCCGTGTGACATTTCAAATATTTTCACATCGTAAAATTAAGTGCTGCATACAATCGCCGGGAATGTATGCTTAAGGGCACAAAAGGAAGACTTCAGATTGAATATACAGAGGCGCAATAAAAATTGAAACCAAGCAGGTATTTACGAGAAATGTAGGCACATTTGGCTTTATGAAGAACGGTGTATTAAGGGGTATATTGGATTCTTAGCAGTGGGATTTGTTTGCAAGGCCCAGCCCTTGAAGGGAAGAAGTGTTAAATGAACACGTGTCCGCAATAAATCAAATTTATAACTAACCAGTAACCCTTAAAGAAGCCCCCAGAAAAAAGGCGTTAGTTAACTTATCCACATTCAGGGGCTATTCACTTATGTTGAACCGTCTTAAAGGAGGCAACAATTCGCAAATTTGTGTGAATTAAGGGTTTTGCGGTATTTGAGACTGCTGCTATTAAAGAGACTGTGACACAATGCCATTAGGACTTATTCGTTATAAAACGTTTTTCCATTTAAAGACAACATAGTTTGTTACCAAACAAAGTGCTTTTGACTCTAGTTCGTTATAATATTTGTCGCATATTTCAAGCGGGTATTTGCACTACCATATAAAGTAGCGCGTCACGTTTATTGAGTTAATTTGGCACTTTTACCAGTAAAGAAAATCAAAAATACCCGCCATGACCACACGCGCAGAAAGCGCAATAATTGAGTACTTAGTTTTAAGCACGGCAGGCTTAATCTATTGAAAACTTGACATTTTCATTTAGTTCTTGTTGCATTAAAATTAAATTATTGTATCTACAGGGTGATTCAAAATTCGCGTGATTCCTTTTAAGGGGTAATAGGGGCTCACTTGGAAGGTACGAAAATTACGATCTTTGCTTCAAATTACGAATTTTTTTTTTGTATTAAAAGAGTTCTCTTCTACAATTTTTTGATGAAAAGTCAAAGCGACAAAGATGTTTTTTGTCATTAACAGATAGTTACAGGAGGATAGCCCTTGTCAATAATAACAATAATTTGTCAAACTGTGACTTACTACCACGTATGTAAGATCACATTAAACCAATGGATTACCGAACACCGGTATAAATTGAGCAGGAGTTAATTAACCGAATACGAGAAGCTGCTTGATAAGAGTGCATAATAAGGTGATTACACAGGCACTTGTTTGGAGTTACAGACTCAGATGTATGTTTTTGTAATTTGTAAACAAATGAATAATTCGAGGTTATGAGTTTCGAAATGGGTTCCGTCATTCAACTATTCCTATTGAATGTACCATTTATCCTTGTCTATCTTATTGTCACTTTCTCTAGTTATCCATGGTTATCGGAGCTTTAAATAATTACGACGCAACAGGTATTTGCATAATGTTAATTAGGCAGATTACCTTGAAAAACATTGTTGCCGTTTTTGTAATAAAGTTTTTTGCAAATTTCGCAGTTTTTAATAACAATTAATTTTTTAAACTATTTTTTCTGTACTCCTAAAACACCGCCAGATCACACCTCTAGAGGAATGACCCCAATTTTGAATCACCCTTTATATGCCTACATCATAACATTCCTAATTTTTAGACAGGCAGATTTCAGAAATCTGTAGTTAGCACTAGACCTAATTATGTGCTTTGGGCCAATAAAAATGTTCACTTTTTGGAGATCGTTACTTTTTAAATGACTTATGGCTGATTTAAAATTTGGATATATACAGGCTGATTCATGTTTAATATGCCAGACTAATGTTCCAACATAATACAAAATGTTTCCCTAAATCGAATCATTTCGAACATACAGGGCGTAGGTAAAATTTGAAACATAATGACTTACGTTTCTTCCTAAAGTTTTAATCACACAGCTTTTCTAGAAGGGTATCTTGTGTGTCCCCCTTCTTTGGTTGCAAAACATCGTCAACGAAAAGTTATTTCAATAAAAAACCTACGTTCACTGATTCAATTGGAAACTTTTTCTTTTTAATTTTTTTAACATTTTATCTTCAAAATAATTCAAAAAATGTTTTCAAAATGTTCAAAATATTGTTTCTGAGATATATAATAAAACTCCAGACATTGTTGTGCAAATTGACGTTTGAGCGGAATATTTATTTACTATTAGTTGTGTTTGTGTTCCAATTTTTACATTAATCAGTTCAAAAACTTTTAGGAGAACAAAATTTTTAAACATTTTATATCATGCAGAAATTTTATTGTAACATGTTCTTCCGGTTTTTGACGCCATCAAGATTAAACTCGAAGGACCCTGAGTACAACCTAATACATACCAGCTAGTTAAGTTAAGAAAACTCTTTCTCAAACTTTAAAATCTCAGTAGATTTTTCGCGAGTTCTTTCGAGGAAATTTAAATGGCTCAAAATTTCTAAGATTCTGTTTCTAAAAAAGCAAAAAACAGTTTCCATCTTTAACCAACAATATTTATCTTATTCTGAAGTCAAATACCCTGTAATGCAATTCGGAGGACAATTTCGAACGAATACTATCAATCGAACTAAAAAAACACATTTCACACACAATTTCTATTTACTCATAAAAATCTCACAAGGTTTACATTTCGTCGAAACAGCACAAAATTATCTTTCTGATTTACCAGGGTGTTACATTTTTCTAAATTTTCAATTCAGTTCAGAGAGTTTTAACGTTTGGTCAATTCCATTTCAATTGAGGGTGAAATTTATGGTTTTTAGCTCTCTAAGGAACTTGATAACTTTTATAGAACGCTAGACCGCGCGAGCCGACGGTATAATAAATGTTTTCAGGCTAATCCATCTGGGCATCAACTCGCCTTTACCACCCCAAATATAAATCATCTTGGGTTATACTTACTGAAAAGAGCAAATTCTATTACCAAAAATTTATTGCTTCCTTTATATAAAAACATTTTATATTTTACTAGCTTAATGCATAACATAACAACGAGTTTACGTAACAAAAATTGCTCGATTTATTAACACTAATGTATAAAAATAAATAAAACCTAATAATAAATATATTGGCAACGTCATAATATAAACACAGCCTAAGTGACAATTTTCTCTTAAATGTACAGGAACAATTTCGCACTTGCTTAACACCTAAAACTACTGCGGGTAATATTTAGAGAAAAAGTGGAATGTTTATGCAGGGTGTGTAAAAACTGCTTAACACCCGCTTAAAATTTTATGGAGAAAAAGTTATTTATGCGCTTCAAATATCATTTGAAGTGCTTGAAATTAACTGGAAAATAGTGTTTTGACTATTCGAATCGTTTCCAAATTAGTGCGTTTATATACAATTTGCAAAAATAGCACATGCTTTTAACAAGTTTGTGATTTTCATGATCAAATATTAATATGCAAAAAATAACGGCAATTCATGCGGCAGTTTTTTAGAATCTTAGAAATCGACAGATTCAGTTTTAATTAATTTCTCCCAAATTCTTCATTTTACACAAAGAGATTGCATTAGTTTTCCGATGATAATTTCTGGCAAACGGAACCGGTTAAAGGCCCTCAATGCCTGAGTTCAAAAGTGCAGGAGTTTTGGTGCGTTTGATTAGCCGCATGGGTTGCAGCCGATACGTAACTAACAGACACAATATTTTCTGCAGTTTTATCGCTTTCACCCTGTATGTGTACTTTATTGTTATTGCTCTCCACTTAGAGGTTAGTCAAGTAATATCAGAGAAAATCAGGCAAAAATTGCGAAACTTTTACATGAGAGACTTTGGGGTATCTATAGAACAATTATCTGACAGCATGTAGCTTGTACTTAAGCACTACAAATGACAAAGTCCTGAGGATGAACCAGAATAGAACCAGCGCGATCACGTCGTTGCTGAACTGGTCAGACTTAACTGCAATATCTTCCAAAAACTTCTTTGGGTACCTGAAAAAGTCTTTATTAGCTTGGCTCTCCACATCTTCGATAGGACTTTACCTGTAGTGGCAGTACTGATCTTCAGGACAATCAATCGTGGGCCGGTTCAGCCCATAGATTGCGCCCACCACTCCTTCCAGACCATATCTCAGATACGATATGTAACTTCCCCAGTAGAGGTACGAGGGCAGATCCCTCAAAGAAACACCGAATCCGGCAAACATCATCATAGGAACCGTTAAGGTTGGACCCAAAAATGTGCCATCCTACAAAAGACACACAATTGGTACTCAACAAGGCTCTGCAAGGGCTGATTGAACTTACCACAACGTTAAAGTAGGCTCCAATCATCAGTCCAAAGCTCTGTGCTACGAATACCACCAGTAAACTCGTGATGAAGAACATGTTGAATCGGATGTTGTCGAATGGTTGTGCTGTCATGTAGTAGATGATGCTCGTGAAGATAAAGCAGCAAAATACCTGAAACGGTTTAATTAGCAATGTTTGACCTAACTTCTTTGAACTTTTTCTAATTCATATTAATTTTTTTGCTGGTTGTCATTTGCAAATCAGTTAAGATCTCATATTTATTCACAACTTTAAAAATTTGCTTGCTTTCTTAAGTTTTATCACCTTTCCTTCTTCGATAATTTTTACACATCTACTTGGAGCCTGAAATAGTGTGCATAGATAAAAATAGTGTGCTATTGGTTCCAATGATAATATGTGGTGCCCTCGCGTGGTCTTAACTAAAATGTCCACTTTTTCAAAGAGCATCCACCATTAAACTCAAAGAGTTTTGTTAATTTTCAACTTGTTTCCCAGCTTTTGCGAGTTAGTTTCATGTGCGGGCGGACTATCATCACAAAATATCCCCCCTGGGGGTATGTTCTGTGACTATCATTGGCAAAAAACAAACTTACCGATAGTGGAATGTCGATAAGGGTGACCGACGTGTAATACATCTTCAAAGAGTACCATCGATTAAAATGCTCCTTGATCAATATACTCATTTCAGTGGGAACTAGAAAAAAGCACGAAAAAAATAATACTCTAGCGAAACTGAGGTTGAGACATTAAAAATCAGCACCTTAACGTTAAGTTAATACTTACACGTCAAAATGGTCAACATCATTGTAGAAAACGTGTGGTGCATAAGAATGGAAAACAGCAAGTTATAATTGTCGATAACTTTTGTGCCATCAGTTCCAGCATTAAAATACAAAGTACCCAACATCAAGGCTGTCAGTGCGTTTACTGCTATCCTCAGATATGTCATAGTCTAAAATAGTATAAAATAGAAAATACCAGATACTACCAATTAGACGAACTTACCTTATCTCGTTTCGCTTTTATGTAGCCTCTTTTTAGAAGAACTTTGAGTTGGTTGAGTTTGGAGGTAGCTTGTAAGTTACCATTGTCATCCTCAAAAATTGTACTTTCTAGAAATTGAAAGATATTGCAGTTGGTTTTCAGGCTGATACCCTAATTTTGTGCGCGAATCATTCGAAAATCGGCTTCATATAGCCTGAAAAATTTAACTTTTTGACTGAATTTCTAATGATAGTGTTGTAGGTAGGTACAGAAATTTTAGAACATTTTTTCTACAGAAGGCAATCCTTACTGATCAGTTGAAATCAAGTTTGAACAATCGTACACGATAAATATACAATATCAATTTGTGTGTGTGAACAATTTTTCAACAACATTATGAAATTGTCTACTGTAGAAAAGACTCGGTTTTATACCAAAAATTTTGAAAAACATTACAAATTTATATCGTTTTCTCTATAAAATGACACTAATTAGTACTCACTCGCTCATAATTCTACTGTGGACAACCTATCGAGGAAAGCCCGAGCCAAGCCTGATCCGCGAAAAATTTAATTAATAAACATGAATCGGTGCTTTAACGAAACCTCAATGGAATTTTGCTGCGGCTCAGGCTCAGCTCAGGCTCGGCTTGTCAGGTCTGGACGCACCATAAGATTGAAACATTTTATTACCTGTAAAACCTGTTTTAAGAATTTTTTCGGGTTCTTTGAAGTACTTCAAGTTTTGCCCATTGTTCGATACCTGCACCATTTTCTCCACCTTATCTTTGCCGTATTCCTCGCATGCTAACTCGATAACTGCAATAGACAAATTCGTGTTTCAATAAACTATTCCCATTAAACGAGCTCAAAAATCAATTACACACCATAATCAGCCGGATTGTGGAATTTAGGACAAGGACTTTGAACGTCTTCGAAAAAGGGTATCATGTTATCCGTGCCACCCTGATAGAGGCATCGGCCTCCTGCTAAAACGTACACTTGATCGAACATTTGAAAGAGTGAGGCCGATGGCTGATGAATTGTGCATACTATTGTTCTTCCTTGACTTGCCAGCACTTTCAATAGTTCCAAGCACTGCCTGCACGATGAGCTGTCCAAACCCCTGAAAAGATTCTGTTTATATTTCTCACATTGAATATTAATGCTGTTTACATTCTTTGATAACCACCAACTATTATTTATACAATAAACGAGCAAGTGCTACTTAAAAGCGATAATTTTTTTCGTTGTGCCGTGAGATGTTGACCTTTCACAAAAATTTAAACAAAGCCGAAATGCTTGCATTTACATAGTAAACATCAACAATATCAGTGTTTGTTTGGATCATTAATTAATTGGAGACAAAAGGAAGATGACTGTTGATGTTTGCCAGCATTATCACTTATCAACAATTACACGCGGACTTCGGACTCAATAAATCTTGAAAAAATATTTAACATTTCATAATAATGTTACGCGAAATTTAGGAAAAAATAAATATTTGCTTCTGATTTGGCTTACGTCGTAGGCTCGTCCAGAAATAAAACCAGAGGGTTGCTGACTAGTTCTAGCGCGATGGAAAGTCGTTTTTTCTGACCACCAGATAATCGTTCTACGAGTGTCTCCTTTGTATTGCCCAAGCCCAAAGTGGAAAGGATTTCGTCTATCTGAAAAAATTGATACTGTTATTCAAATAGAGAGCAGAAGCCCAATTTTCAAGCTAAACTGCAACTACATTTAATTAAATTCTTAAAAAAAAATGATTTTTAAAAAACGTGTACCTACATCGCTTGCAACTATCGTTAGCTGAAGCAATCGAAGGCGGGAACATGAATTACCCATATTACTTCATTTAATTATTTACATTAATTTTCTTATTAACTGTAGACAGCAAATTATTTATTTATAGTGGCTCGTTTAAATGCAATGTTGTTAGACTTTGATTCGCCTCATACCTAACATTACCGTATTCATAATAAATAACCTACTTCTAATTGATGTGGCATTCATTAAATTAATTGCGCTAATCGAAATGTGAGCTTCCCAAAGTGCATTGCACACAGTTCACAAATGAAAATAGCGATGTTCAGAATTGCGTCTCATCAAAAGACCTTTTTCATATGTGAATATTTTAGCAATGACCTCTCAAAGAAATCGCTCCGATTTTGTAAACAAAGAGTGCACAATTTGATTTATTGAGGCCTTGAAATTCCCGGAAACATTCCCATTAATCTAATAATTCATGTTTTGAGCACTTTCTCGTAGTTGTCGCATCTAGAAAGTTTACAAACATTTCTTAATGTAGAAGAACATTGATCAAAGTACAGTAAATGATGATGCAACTGATGTGCAATGTTAATTACATGCTGGCAAATCGATGAACCTCTCCGCTATGAATAAGTGACGATTCGATATATTATCTAGGCGCGATGGTTTGCCAATATGTTACATATCGAGAAACATTTAAATAATATTTTGACGTTATATTAAAAGATCAATAGGACAATAATATGTACCAAGCAATTCACGAGATGTGTTTATAAAACTTATAACGCGTGGCTAGTTGTTGATCACCCTTTGCAAATGACCCAAAACCACAAATAAGATAAAACGTCATCGCATTAATAGCAGTTCAATCGCTGGCACTATTTGCACTGGTTTCCTTGTTTTAAAATTAAACTTCGATCTTCTCTGGCTTTGTCTCAGATTCCCACGTAGGTAGTCTTATCAATCGGCAGCAATTTTTTGAGTTTTTTCATGTATGAACAGCATCACTTTTACGAGTTGTTTATGTAGATTGTAAAGTCAAAACGTTTGAACCATTTTATACATGACAAGACAATGGATGTTGTTTAAACTCAAGAACAATGCGCTGATCTGTTTATCAACTGCTGGTCAAGGCAATAGAATTTTCTGATTAGGAGGCAAAGAGGCAGAGTGTTGTTTTTACACTTATATAGTTATATCAAAAATTATACATATCATTTGCATATTGCAAGCTAATGGACAAAATGTAAACCCTGTCCTACTTGGAAAAATCATTAGTAAATTTTACATTTCGTTTGTTTTGTCTTCGAATTACAAAGTTTCCATTGATAAATTATACAAGTAATTTGTGTTAATGGACGTGTTTGGCAGCTGCATTTTGAGCAATCCAATTAAACTCATTTTGTGTATTACCCAAGTAATTGGGAATTAATTCTTGTAATAAACATACAATTTTTTTGCTGAAAAATACAGAAATCAAATGAATGTTCTGACATGCATCTTTCCGCCTTACTGTATAATATTATTTAAGATTCAAAGTCCAAAGTACATTATCGCTTTGCAATTTGCTTATCTCAAAATTTAATCTTTCCATGAATTATTACTAATCCAAACGACGTTGTAAATTGCCAAAATCAATGTCGCCAATATCTTGTTGAATACTTACAATTGCCTGTTTTTCTGCCTTACTGGTGCTGGATGGCAGCTTTAGATCAGCTGAAGTGTGCATGTTTTCGCTAACTGTTAACAGGTTCTGCAGCCTGTCGTCCTGAGTGATGTAGCAAGATAAGCGTCGGAATGCTTTCAGTTTTCGCGGATTGCCATTGATTAGTACTTTGCCTCCTACCTGAAATCAAAGATTTTTCGTAAAACCTCAAAACTAGGCTCTTGCTTAAAATATAATTTCAATTGAAGAAAATTATCAAATGCTGGTCTAATTACCCCTTGAATGCTGTATCCACTCAAAACATTCAACAACGTACTTTTTCCCGCTCCAGAAGGCCCCATAATAGCTATCAACTGACCAGAAGGAAACCTTCCATATACTTCATGAAGTATTTGCTTTTTATCTGGAAATAAGCACAATTGTTAGCATGGAAAAATTTCTAAACATGTTTGATTGAAATGGACGTTCAAAAACGTTTTTCATAAGTTTTCGCCAACACAATTTAAGAAACCCAGTAATGTTTGTGAATAAATATACTAAGCACGAGTATTTAGCTAATTAGTTGCACTGTGAAGTAATTATCAAACGTTTCATAGTGACTAATTACGGCGTACTTGAACGTTTGTACAAAATCGATTCAAATGACGATGAGCAATTCAAAAAACCCGATTTTCTAAGTGATACCTATTTTTGACTATTATCTTTGAAATATTCGGATAATTCACACCGAAAGCAAAGGTCACGGTGAGGTAAAAGTCCATATTTGAGAGGATTAGGCGATAATAAAATTGAACAATTCCATAAACCAACTTAAAAAACCTGACGTATTTTCTCTTCAACGAGATCATTTAAACTCTTGTTGCCTAACATCAGTCAGCTTCATAGGGCGTAGTGTTTAAGCAAAAGTAGGTCACTTTCAGATGATTTGGGGAAAATAAGTAGTTTGTAGTGTTTTTACGTCACATCTCATTAATTGTTGCCTATTTAAAGGTCGAGTGGCTTGTTCAATCGAGTGCAAATAGATTTTCTGGTAATTTTTATGCAAACTCAACTACTTAAACTGCTCTCAAATGTTAAACTGTTATGGGTATTTTATGAACATTTTTACCCACATTTTAAAATGTTTTCAAAACGATTCGGACAGTTTCATATTGTTGAACGAGCTTTGGTTCTTCCGCGCTCTCCATCTCAATAGAACTTTCAAAAATCAAGAGGACGTAAAGATTCGTAATAACTAAACTTCATAATGTCGTTCCTAATAGTTGGGAATCTATCAGTATCTATCTGTGCCAAGTCGAGAAGAAATCATTCGCGCCTACCTCCAAGTCAAGATTCCCAAGAAAAAAACTAATGTTTTATAAAAAATACTGCCTTTTACTGTTGAAAAAGTGAATCATTGTAAAAATATTCGAAACACCAGGAAACAGTTAAAAATATCAATAAACTAATGAGAGGATAGAAACATTCATGCGGCAACCTGCGAAAGAAAGACGTTTAAAAATTAAAAACTTAGATCTATTACTATTCTGAATATAGAAAATAAGTTAGTGCATAGAAGAAGAACAAAAAATCATGAAGCAAACATTGTCTAAGATAAGGGAAAAACCCGAAAAAAGAAAAGAAAGATAAGCACGAGAATGAACAAGTTTCGAAAGTTCAACACCATCGGAAATAATGGACTCTATCGCACTAAAAAACCACCCTGTATTTAAGTCATAGATAATTGGGAACTCTCGCATATGTTTAGGCACGATATTCGAAAGGAAATTGTGGAGTTTACGATGATTCCAAACAAGGTAAACCATTTTCATATTAACAAAGATTATATTCTAGAATTATACTTAAACATTGTAGTTTCAAAATGTATGTAAATATAATTTTCCCTTGCCATATTGAGATATTACGAGGAGAATCATTTCTAATAGGGGACATAAAATTTTCTAAGCTCATTAACTTATTCATTCTCTAAAGCAAAAGTAAAATGTAATAAGAAATGCAGAAAAAAAAACAGACAATATTTTCACCACAAGTTTTTCATTATTGTTCACTTCAAAATGGTTGTTGGAGATCGATCAAAACGTTGTGTTTAATAATCATATTTTACAACAATAGAAGTACGAGATTATTTATCCATTAAGGTTGGTAAAACTTCTCCAAGAATTAAAATAGCGAAACTTTTGAGAAAACGGTACTTTCGAAAAAAATTTTTATGTTATTACAAATGCTTTTATGATGTTGCGATGTTGAGTGTGACAAAAATAAATCCGGTCGTCTGTCCGAAAGATCATAAAATTAAAATTTACAATTCGAATTTTCATAGTTGTTCATCTCGAGAGCCTTGTAAAAGATCTTGACTTCTTGCAGCAGTGTCAAGGCAACTGCAACAACAAGTGGTTCTCCTCGTTGGCCGGCTATTCTTGGTCAAATTTGATAGTCGCTTAAATTACCAGCCGCAGCCCAAAATTTTGGTAATGGGTTTTTTATGCCTTTTAAAAAAAGATCATCAGATTAAAGAAGATGGATACATTTTTTTTAACAAAATGTTGTTGCAAGCTTTTGAATATCGTCATTTCGCAATTGTGCTTAATAAGCTGCGCATTTTGCTGAAATAAATTGACAAAATAATGAGTCTGCAATCGCAATCGAGACGTCTTTCTCATTGGTGTTAATTAATCGAGAGATTTAAATTAATTTAATCACAAAATAGCATGTCAAATGAGAAGCAAATGACTTTATCTGGTAATGTGTGGACAATTGGGTTTAGAGATCATCCTTTTATGTAATAGTCGTTCTCCTCAATGACCTTTATTGATTGAAACGTTTGTGGAAAAATCGCTTATTTGAAGTTTTCTTTATCAAATCAAGTTTTTAATTTAAATATTTACAAATCACTTAATTAAAATTAAGTATAACACGGTCAGAATAATAACATTGAATTCGTCAAGTTCATTCAAAATTTATCAGTTACGTCATTTTTTCCTATCCTAAAACCAAATGCGTTAATTAACAACACCAACTTTAACTATGTCAGGCCATGATAAAAATACCTTTATTTATGCGATAACAATAAATAGTTACTTGAAACAAGAAATGGTGCTTAATTACTGCCAATTAAAACATTTAAAAAATGGCCCTTTCAAGTTCTATTAAAGTAAGCTTAAGGCTAAATTAAATAAGCATTTCGCATCTGGTTATGTGGTCTTGCACAAACATGTGTAATATTTATTTACTAATCTTTAGATCTACTTCATTTGTTGTTCTGGATCCTCTTTATTATTTGACATCCCCATTTTCTTATACTTTAGTTAGTTTAGATGCTTAATGTATTCTTTTTAACTTATTCGAAGAAAAATGGGTAGAAATGTACTGCTACTACTAATGACGCTGCTTTTTGCAAAGTTTCTCAAGAACCATTGGAGCCAGGTAATTCGTTTTGGCATATTTGGATAGAGAATTGAACATTTGATTCAGTCATAACAACATGAGTGAGGAAAGTTGAGTAGGTTTGACCCAGAAAGCGAAATTTGAATATCAGACACTTAGGTGTAAGATTATGCGAGCATTTCATGTTTTCCGTTCTGTCTTTGCTCATTTCTCGGAGCAAGAACGCTCATTTTTACATCATTCCAGAGAGAACTAAATGGCCTTTTTAGAAAGAACCGTCCATAAGGAAATGTTGGCAGTTTTGTCAAAAAAATATTGATTTCAAGATGTTTTAGACTTGACGTGATTTTTTTTGAGTTGCAAAATCGACTCAAACATGACGCTGCTTTTGTTGTTCAAGCCCAAATTGAGCCACAGAATTCCTTGTTGGTATCGTTGCATAGAGAATTGAAAATTCGATTCATGACAGCATGAGTGAGAAAATTCGAATATTTTTGACCCAGACAGCAAAATTTGAATATCATACATTGAGCAGCGGCGGATCCAGCTTTCAAGTTAGATTAGGTCTTTTTGGAAAGCATTTCCACGCTGTTTTGATCGATAAAAAGTTAATAAGTAACAATTTCCTTTCCCACTAAGTAATTCAAAAAATTCATCCTCGAAGGAAAATGTCTCGTCTCTGAGTATCTAGTAGACCTCTGATGTCCATATTTTGATTCGATGTCTCTCCAAGGATTTTGTGGATAAATTACATCTTGTGTTTTGTGAAGAACTTGCTTCTTATTTCGAAATCCATAAGAATATCCGATTTTTCTTCGGAACTGGCCACAGTTTTAAATGTGTCAGACATTAAAAATAAATTCACCTTCACGGGGAACCTTCGAAATTTCCAAGTGCAAGTCAATTCGGTTCAATTCGGTTTGTTTAAGAAAAGGTTAAAATGTTTCAATCAAGAAGTTGGTAATTGTTTATACATTTTGAAGCAAATTAATTCTTAAACATATTTATTTAGCTTGTAGATTAACAGAGAAAGATTATGGACTTAAATACAAAATTGCGTCGTCAATGTGTGAAAAGCTATAAGATACTGAATAGTGAATCAATCAAATCAATTATAAGCCAAGTATTCGGTGGTTTAAGATCCAGTTTAAATAAATTTTACTGATTTCCTTAATTTTTCCATTTCTCAAATCGAGCTAAATATGTTTGCAGGGTTTATGTCTTATAATTAAGTACTATAGCAAATATAGCAATCAAGTTTTTCATCATATCCATTAATACCGCAGTTATGTTGAAATAAGTGCATTTCTAAGGTGCAGCAAACTTTTGAAGAATTAAAAGATTCTCTCAGTACTTTACGAACGTTGAATGAGTTTCAAAAATCTAAAATTACAAGTTTTAATCTAATGTTGCCGAAAAGTTCCTAATTAATATTAATTAATATTAATATTTTCTAGATCTTTGAGCCAAGTCATTCGAAGTTGATTAAGAAAATGGACTCAATTGATACATTTTTAGTGCAAAACGTGAGATTGAGAGATAATTTTTAGACTATCAGAGAACAAAGTACCACTTTACAAAAATTAGAAAAACCGTTTTATCTTGAAGGGACTTTAAGAGGTCGCTATTTGGAGTCAGTTTCTTTGTTTTGCATTAACAATATACAGGAGAACAGCGAATTATGCAGCAGAATTTTTAAATGAAGGAAAACTTATTTGGAGTCCTTTTAAAAAATTGCAATTAGTTGCAGGAATGTCATATAAACATAAAATTGATATAGAAACTTTCGATAGTAGTAAGGGGCAGGTTAATTTTCGAAACAAGTCCTGAAGTTTTGGATACTAACTTTTGCCTTTTAGAATGCTGCCTTCTGTAGCTGTGAAGGTAATCTTCTCGAACTTGATATCGATGGGTGAAGTGGATGGTGCCATATTAAACACAATTTCGTTTTTTCCAGATCCATCGTCTTCCAGCAGTACTTTGGTTTCTTGCGGCTCTTTCTGGTAAGTCTTCACTAAATCACTGTTTTTATCACTCGCGCCATTCACCTGCAGATGTCCATTTTTCTGCTGATGGTCCGCAGAGGCTTCCATCAGTACCGTTTCCATTACTTTTTCAGTACCAACTCGAAAGGTACAATCTTTAAAATCGCAATCTCTTGAAGCAGTACCCGCTTTGACTATAGAATCGGTACGATGCAAACGAGCGGAAGGTTCATTTAAGATATCGCTGATACTGGATCAATGAGCGCGGTACTGATCGAACGGGTACTGCTTACTAATGAAGATTATCTCGTATTGGTCATTTATATACTTTGTTTACGATTGGACCCTGATATATCGAGTTCAGACTCCTGTGCTAGGGAGTTTTTGCGCTTGATGGTACCACAGCGATAACGTTAACAAATTTATACAGGGTGTCGTAGCAAACAGCGCTATTTAGCGGCGGAAAGATTTGCCTGCATGGTTATACTTGCGTAGTATTTTGATGGGGTTGAAATCTAATTTTTAAAACTAGAATTTTTGAAAAACTTTTTATACCTATTCTCTAAGTATGTGTTTAATGTACTCTAAACCGAGCTAATTTAAAGTAATTTGACTGTTTAGTTAGAATAATTGATTCCGGAGTGTTAATGATCATAATCGATAATCGCTTTTCATTGACCTAATGGTGTTCACCATATCATTGAAAATTACGCTTACGCCAAAAACAGGAATATTGTTGAAGATGAGAAATCGAAATATTTGGAACGTTAATGGGTTTTTAGAACGAAAAAACTTGGAAAGAAAGACTTTTTATGAATAACGAATCCTGGGAAATGTATTTTTATCAATGTCTTATTAAGAAGAACAGATGACTGTTTTAGTTGGAAAAAGGCAGCGCCAATTTGAGCTCTGATGTCTGATGTTTAATTCTCCTGAAATAATTTTTCTATTCCACTTTTAAATGATGGGCTGACGTTCTACGTGAATATTAGGAAATGCATGGGATCGAATTATTTAAGCAAATTTGAGTCAAGCAAATAAATTTGAAGTGGGTGGACAAGGACATTTTTGGAATTTAGCGTTTGTGGAACCTGTAAAAATCGACGTTTTTAAATTATTTTGTGTACATTTCTTTAAAACCCATAAACGAATAAACCTAAAAATACACATACCTACATAGAGTATTTATTTTTTATTGTACAAGAATATGTTCGCCAAAATTGCTTAAATTACTTTTAATATTCACATATTTGAAAACGCGTTTAACAAAATTTTTAGATTTTGCGATATGCGATACTTTTTTTTTATTTCCACAAATTCCAATGCACAAAGCTTGAAAATCTGAAACTGCTTTAGAGTTTATTATTAAGAATTAATATTTTCGGATTTCCTTTTTCAAAAGTAATGAAAATTACATCTTTGCATTCCCCATTTTTTGGAAAATCACAAAGTTCTCGAATTGTTACCTGGGTATGGCTTGTATAATTTTATAATAATTTCTTCTGATCCTATCGATTTTTTCCTGTAGTCGTTGAAAATTGGCTTTTTACACTTTTTTTACCCAAAATTATGATTACAAATTACCCCCAAAGCGACTGTCTTTTTAATTCCAAACGCCATATCAAAAAATCTGTTTTTGATATTTTTTTCCGAACTCGCACACAAAATCGGAGACACTTTAATGAAGGTGAAAATGGAGGTTGAGGCGACAATGCCCATTTTGGAAAATCCGCTTTTATATTGCATAAGCAATAAAAAAAAATTTCAATTATTATTTTCACGTCGTTGTTTTTCAAAATTACCGCTGTTAGCAAAATCACACTTTTACGCACACATCAACTGAACATTTTAATTTTCGATTTGATTTTATATGAGCTTACTAAATACCTTTCAAGTGCACAATAAAATAAAATATTTCAAAACACCTTTGTTATCAAATTTAATTAAAAGTTCGAATAATGAGGTTTCCAATTGTGTTTCAATTTTTTGATATTATTATATTTATATTATATTTTTGATATATTATTATTATTGATATATGATTAATAAACTCTGTTTTTTAACTGTTTTTCGAAGCTAATGAAAATAATCGCGCCAATTTTCTGTCGGTCTTGGATGCAACTGACATAATTTTCTATAAAAAATGAGAGTCACACGTCAAGTTACTAATCAGGAATTGTTGATATGGATAATGTCTGTAGTTGATTTATGCAATTATTAATTAAACATTTGCGCAATAGTAGTCGAAATTGTCTCAAAAGTTGGAAAGTTTTAAAAACTCGACAGTGAACATCATTGACATTATCGGTCGCTTTTTGTATCATTGTACTAATAATATATGTTGAATCATGCTTGAGAAATATGAAAAGTGGACATTGAAACCGTAACGATAAAACTAATAAAAAATACGGTTGATTTTGAGAACATCGAAGGATCCAGCACGAGTAAATCGGCTGCTGTTCCTTTGTTTGATAACCGTATATAATTGGAGTCGTTTATTATTTGCCGCAATTCCATATTAACATTACTTGGAGATAATGCATATTAGCAATTAAGACGCATTATAAACAGTTATTACAAAAACCGCACGTGGACATCGAGCATGGTCTAATCAATGCTTAGTTTTGGTTTTACAGTGAAAAGAAATTGACGATTTTCTGGAAACTTTTTCAATGTCTCCATTTCGAATACATCTACGCAATTGGCCTTGCGTAGCTTTAATAGCAAACTTTGGACGCTGCAAAGGTAAAATGCAGTCGTATAGTAAATAAAACTAATGACGTTGCACTATCAATAAAATGTCAGAGTTCCGAAAACAATAATAAATACGGAATTAAACCTGCCTGAATCGGTCCAACGCTATAAAAATTACCTGGGACATTTATCGGCGTTGATAAAAAGGGCAATAACTCAATGTGTTTTTATTTGATCATTCAAATTATAGATTATTAATAATAGAGAATGTCTACATTTTAATTAGTACGTAAAATACATTATTTTTTGCTCTCAAATCACATAATAATTAAATACGCACGCAAAGTATTTTTCTTTATCATGTGGGTTCCGAAAATCGGTTAAAGTTGATAAAAGGTTTCGACACTAATAAGGAGACAAATACAAATAAAAAACATCATTCATTTGGTTCTGATGAAATTAGAAACTGATGCTTTGGATTCCGCTCTACCAAAAATGGAAAGAAATAGATTAAAGGTGTTTCAGCCGATTTGAATGAATGTTTGTCGATTAATCAGAACCACTATAATACATCGAACATTAATTTTTTGCTTTTAAATGTTTCGCGATTTATTTGTGGTATTCATATACATCCGTTAGCAATAGTACATTTTTATCTCTTAATTGTATAACGCATATTGTACAATTATGTATTCTAAGTCGTAGCTGTTGACATCTTTACCAAACGCGCTAAAAAAAGGTGATTTGCGCGGTTTAATTTCGGGTTGTGTTGACCAAAAAACAAGAAGTAATATTTTTAAAAGACAAGAAGAGAAAAGGCAAACAACAGCTTATGTCCTATCGAAATAGAAGTGAGAAGCTCACAAGAAGAGTCTTAAAGCTCACGATGATGAAGATATTGTTTAATGGAGATATTTGAAAATTCATGGCAGAAAATCTATCATACTTTTTTCAGTTGTTTTTTTACAAACTGCTTGTTGGGTATTCCGCCTGAAAAAATGTTGTCTTTAAAAAAGACATAATTTCCACACGTCTTTTATTACAGATTGATAAATATTGCTCCTATTTCGCAATAAGGACGAATTATTTATCAAAAAGTAATCACCTAGAGGGTATCCTGCGACACACTTAGGCTCAAGCTGTAAGAGAAAATTCCAATCCCAGGCGTAAAAAAATGAATCCGCCTCAACAATATGGAACTTATCAATTTCAGTTGTTTGTTAGATATTTCAATGCAAAGTTGGAAAACGAGAGACAGACTCACACATGAGCGTTAATAAAACGCAATTTTACTGCATTTTACCTGTAAGCAAAACAATAATTATGCAGCAAACTCATTCATTTCCAGAAAACTTTCAAAATAATGAAAATGGACTCGTGCGGGTGAAAAATATTTTTCGTTCTTCTCTATTTAGTGGAAAGAAAACAAGCGCTGTAGCTCAAATGGTTTTTAAGTTATGGCCAAAAAGACGACGTCAGTTTTCCGATGGTCCAATTTTGCCAAAACCGGTTAGACCCAAAAACACCTTGATATTTCCCATTTTGGGTAAAAACCGCCATAATTGCACAATCGCTCTTTCACCTGATAAATGTGTTATTTAATTCCCTGTCCAACGGTGTAGAATTGAAAGAGCTTGCTCAATTTTGCCGTGTGATATGCACAAATTCAAATTGATGATAAATTTTACAGTTTAGATACCAGATACCAGACATGATACCAGACATGAAAAAATAAAGGAGCCTGAAGATGAAAACAGCATAGAGGAATTATGGGCTAACATTAAAGAAGCAATAACCACCGTATCCAAACACGTACTTGAAAAAAAAACCGGCTAAGGAAATGGTTCAATGATAGCTGCAAAAGGACACTTGAAGCACAGAACACTAGGGAAAAAATGCTACAACATCCAACAGCACCTAATATAGAAGAATATAGACATCAAAGAACAGCAGCTCGCAGAATGGTGAAACGAAAAAAGCGAGAATACCAGCTATCAATAATAAGGAAGAATAAACATAGAAGAAAATAGACAGAATAACAGAACAAAAGAGTGTTTTAGCGAAATCTCAAAACAGAAAGCAGGATACCAACCCAGAGAAGAAAATTTTCTCACGAAAATAATGTATAACTCATAGCCAACGAAAAGGAGATTTTAAATACCTGGAAGAAATACTTCTGTGAACTGCTCAATGATGAAGAAAATGTAAGTACGCCACCAACAAATATACCAATGGCCGTAATAGAAACACCGCCACCTTCGTGCGAAGAAACAGTGAAGGCAATAAAGAAATTGAAAAATAACTACGCTTCAGGCAGCGACGGCATACCTGCCGAATGCATAAAATCTGGCGCAGAAACTCTCCATAAGGCTTATACAAATCATCTGGAGGACAGAGGCCCTGCCGGATGAGTGGAAAGAAGACGCAATCGTCCCTATACATATAAAAGGAGACAAAAGTAAATGCACAAACTGTCGAGGAATAACTCTTCTGAATACATGCCATAAGATACTCTCTAATATCCTGCTAGAGAGAGTGAAACCATATACCGAAGAGATTGTTGGGGAATACCAATGTGGTTTTAGATCAAATAGGTCTACCGTAGACCAGATTTTTACCATTAGACAAATAATGGAGAAATGCTGGGAATTCAACAGAAAACTCCACCAAATCTTTATTGATTTCGAACAGGCATTCGACACAGTATGTAGATCAAAGTTGTGGCAAGCAATGCAAGGACTTGGATTCCCAAAAAAGCTTATATCGCTGACAAAAGTTTGTATGGAGAATACGCGATGTAAGGTAAGAGGGGGACAGAGTCTCTCCGACTCCTTCAGTATCAGTAATGGTCGCAAGCAAGGTGACGCCCTCTCACCTCGACTCTTTAACATAGCATTGGAATATGTAATTAGGAATTCCAAAATCGAGAAGCCAACTGCTATCTTTCATCAAGAGGGACCAAACCTGCTCCTGGCTTTTGCAGACCATGTCGATGGGATTGGCAATAGCAGGATCAACCTCAAAGAGTCCTTCATAAAGTTCGAGAAGGAAGCTGAAAGGATAGGCCTCAGAATAAATGAGAACAAGACCAAGTATATGTACCTCAGTAGAAATAATCGGAACCGAGATAGAGTAGGACAAAACTTCTCTATCGGAGACTACAACTTTGAGCGTACAAGACAATTTAAATATCTGAGTACAAGTATTAGTGAAAACAACGACATCATTGAAGAGATAAATAACAGGATACGGTTGCAAGCGAAGACCGACTTAAGGTCTTTCAAAGGAAACTGCTTAGACAAATATTCGGCTCAATTAGAGACGAAAATACAGGGCAATATGGAATAAAAACCAACCATGAACTCAAAGAACTCCACACTGATACCAGCATAATAAACTAAATAAAGGCCAGGAGTCTACAGTGAGCAGGACACGTAAAAAGAATGCCAGATGATAGAATGGTAAAACTGGTGTGGGAGGAGGTTCCAGGGGGAAACGTCCTTTAGGTGGGCCCCGCCTCAGATGGAGAGATAACATTGTAAAAGGGTAGAGATAGGAATATCATAACAATTGCAAAAGACCTAAAAGTCATGAATATCGAAGATGGCCCCGATCGGATGCTTGATAGAGAAGGATGGAGACGTGTGGTTGAGTCGGCAAAAACCCACCCAGGTTTGTGAAGCCACAGATGATGATGATGATGATGATGAATCTTCGTTTCACAGGAGCCAAATTTATCGTAGCCGCAAACTTAAGCAAACTGCAAAAATTGTATCGGAGTTAAATGAAGAATCGCATATTTAAAGCTAGTTCAAGTTGCTTTGCTTAGCAGAACCTCCTCTGGCTTTAGCCACTTCAAGTCAAATATACCCTGGGTATTCTCACCATTCGGATCCACAACCGATCTATTTGCATGGGAATAAAAGCGACTGCCAACGAAAACAAGAACGCAAGCATGAAAGTTAATAAGCATAATAATAATACCTAATATCAAATGTTCTTGCATAGTTGCAATTGTATAAGTAAAAACAATTAGAGTCGAGGAACTATTTCATATTCTTCTTGTACCCACAGAAAATTGTTTTTCGTTTAGAATAATTATGTGGCAACAGTTTAATGACCATTCGTGCCGAATAAAACTATTTCTCCTAACTGGCTTAAGTAAAAATTAATTACATTTTGTTTTCTGAGTGTTCAACACCAGACCGTCCATTGCAAGGTAAAAACACATTGTTAAGTAACATGGTTAATTGCATCAAAAACCTTGAGTATACATAGTTTGCCCAGATTATTGATATTGCGTTCAAAATAGTACAATGTTGTTAATTTATACTGCGATTTTCAGTTGATATGCTTCCTTTGGTTGGTGCATGGTCTTCTTGCTTGTGGGTTATTCGTTCCAACATTTTTTCAAAATTTGCGCTTCATTGCAAAATATAGTCGCTTTTCAAGTTTCTGCCGTCTTTTCGATTTTTTCAAATACGATCATTTCTTTTGCTAGCCTGAAGTAAATCTTAAGCTAATTTCCATTCATATAAATCTGTTTAATAAATACTACTAAGATTTAAAAAAATCTGGCATTATCTGCGATTAGCCAACTCAACTTAGTCAAAGTATCAAGCGTTCAAGTAACCGGCGAAAATAAGTAAAATTTTCCTATGGCTTATTATTAGCATTTTATACGTTGCTAACCTTTAAATGGAAAATTAGTTGTGTGATGTTCCTTGGAATTATAGTGGAAATGAACCAGTTGGACACATAGACCCCAAACTAGTCAGTGGATAATAATTAATTTCATAGAACAGATATGCAATGGACATTTACATTTTACCATCATTAGAGCCGTTCCTTATAATTAATAATAACTTCAAGATTAATTGTTTTTCGACACTTCCCACTTTTAATTCCAATGTGTGTTAAATTATGTATGTAGTATTACATGTATCAGTTGTATTGGCTCACCAAGAGCTAATGTACAATTATCCTAAATTACTTCCGATTTCGAAAAAAATTGTTGATACTTCCAACAAACAATAATTTCCTCTACTACAATTGCAGATGCTGATTTCATTACATTCATAATCAATTTTTGAGGCGAAATACCCAACAAGCAGTTTGTAAAAAAATGAATCCGCTTCAACAATATAGAACTTATCTACAACTCATAATCATTATTTGGCGCTAACCATCCTCATCTACTTTGTAACCGAGTAATTAATTAAAGTAGATAGGAATTACGCAAAACAAATTAATGAACTAGGGGCTTTTTGAAACGCGGAACATTCGTTTTTAGGCTTCAAAATACCAAAAATTACAATATAATGCCTGCAATTGGTTATAGCGTGGAGTGATTTAGAGTTTGTATGCCTCATGCCACTTATCCTACATGGAAATTACATATCAATAAATAAGAAGCTGATTATTTGCAAAAACAAATGTAATTTATTCAAGTTTTTCAACATAAACATTATAAACAAGTCGAAAACGCCAACACGTGCGGTATTAGATACATGTTACATGGATAGTACCACCTAATAGTATATTCACATAACTACAAACGCCTTATAAAAATATATTTTGCCTTATTATGTACAAATAAACTGTCCCAAAGGTAAACAACCACAGCTATTCGAATTGAACAAAAATGTTATCACTTTTAGGAGCATGTAGATTAGCATAGACTAGGACATATTTGAGCAGTATAGAATTCGAAAGCACATTGAATATTACGATTCTATGGTTGCCGATTTCCGTCTTTCCCAAAACACATACTCGACAATCCACATTATTACGCATGCTGTGGACAAAATTGATGCTGCATGTAAAGCATAGACACTCGAGCCCATTTTATCATGTATCACACCTAAAAGAATAAATTCGCTTAATAGCAGAAAACGTTTAATTTGAAACAGATGCATTGAAAGGCAAATAATGTTTTATAACATTAACTTGATATTTTCTGAATACTCACCAATTAAAGGTCCAATCACAAGCGAAATAAATCCAGTGAAAAACATATTAATTCCATTGGCAGCCGCGATTTTATCCAAATGTACATATTGTGGAAGGACCACTGATTGAAATACTGCTCTTGTGCCTTTGGTAAGCCCTATTAGAGTTATCACAGCAAAGACGACTTGTTTTTCAGTTGGCCATATTGATAAGACTAGAAAAAATATAAAACTCATTAGAAAATGGACAAATATCTAATAAAACTGTCGCTCGATTGGTGACGATTTTAGAATAGAAAATATTAGTCAGCAGAAGTGTGACTTTGAGGGGTGTGAAAACCATTCATATTAATTCATTTTAAAGTGATAAATAAGTCACCCCTTACACACTAACTAAATGCAGCATCTACCAATGGCTGATTGGAAGCTTAGAAATTTACGACATTTTTATGACTTTCTCGACTAAAAATTGAATTTGTACATGTTCGTTTTTGGAGTTCAAGAAGGTTCTTAATGGTCATATGCAGAGTATTTGAGAGCATATTGCAGCAGATAGAGGCAAAAATGCCTGCGCTGTAGGAGGTTTATCTTTGCGCTGGTTGCATTTCTCACTTCTTTCCGATGACATTAGTGTATAATTTAATATATAAAAAGTGTTAGGTAAGAGACCTTATGATTTTTTCGACCAAAAATTACTTGTGCGGTTTTTGAGTTCAATGGATAGATCTTGATCCAGGAAACTTCTTGATGGATATATGCAGGGTGTTTTGGAGCATATTAGAGCAGATAGAGGCAATTGAAAATCGGAAAATTTAAAGAACAGCTGAAAACTTGCTTGTTTATGCAGTTATTCCTGTTAAACGCGATCTAACAGGTTTATCTTTGCTCTGGTTGCATTTCCCACTTCCTTCTGATAAAAATAGTGTATAATTTAAGACTTAGATTCAAACTAATTATTGTAAAACTCAATTTTTCGATTTATCAAAAAAAGAAAATGTCACCGAACAAAACAGTTAAAATTAGATTTTATGGCCGGAAAATCTTGATGAGATTTACAATGTAAGAAAAGAAGGATGTCTACATTTTTCGATAAAGCAGTTGCACAAGCATTCCAAAATAATCGAAGTTCTGAGAACAGAACAAAACAAGCACTGTTTCCTTATTACACGTTTAAAATTTAGGTGTAGATATTTTGTTTCCAAGAAACGCAGTTTGTTTCAAATTTGTCCCGAGCTCACACTTCAGAGGTCTGTTCTATTTGACTGTTCCATAAGCTTAGAGCGAATAACCCTCTGAAGATGTTAGCGAAGCATCAGAGCCAAAGTCCTATCTAATAAACCGTTATACTAATAAACTTAATCATATCAGTAAATCTGTTACTATATCAAAATACTGTTTGAGGGAAGCATGTGTAGTAAAAGAGAACAAAGTATTAAAGATGTTAATAGACCGGCAAAATATTCTAAAATATGGATTTCTGGTTTGGACCGCATCTTCTTTTTTGCATATTTTACCGGTCTATTAACATCTTTAATAACCAACACATTTGATTTTATTTCCCAGTGTCTCATTTAAGTCCAAAGTTTCGCTTTCATTTGAAAAAATCACTGTAACGGAAGGAATAAAATAATTGGAATCCAACCTGTTCTAGCAAACGTTGCAACAACCAAAGCCCCCACATACATATTTTTGGCGGGCACTTTGCAATAATGCGCCCCGATCGGAATTAACAGTCTTCCCGCAATGTCAGCAACGCTCTGTATTAAAATCGCCGTAGCTACGTCGCTTCGACTAAAGAGCGACAGGTCTTTTAACATAAATTGCATCATCAATATGATGTTCAGTTCAGCAGCAAAGGAAACACCTGAAGAAAAAATTTGTGTTAGCTTTGCGTTGAAAAACTAGCTTCTATGAGTACAGTACCTAAGCCTATAATCATTATGACTAGAGGAGCGTCGTGAAGCAGTTGCAGGTCAAAAACATCGAACAATTTCGACCAAATTGACGTGGGCTTTGTAGCAGGAACTGTGGTATCCCGGAAAATGGAATTTTGTTTCGTCTCCAATAATTCGCATGCTACTTCCTAGAAAAGCAAAAAACGTCGTTGTTGACTCACGGTTCCTGTACACTAACCAACTATGTTACATTTTTATCAACGTCTCCGTTTATTACAGCCTCGTGTTCTTTTAAACGTGTTTCCACGTCCTGGTCAACCATTTGCCCTTTTCGCTGCCTGACGGGTTTCAGTAAAAAGCACCCGATGAAAGACAGAAGGGAAATGAAAAACAACAGCATCACGGTGTAACGACGTCCAACTTGATTGAGCAAAACGTCGCATATTTTCGGTAAAACTATGGAGGATAAGCTGGCACTGGTAACTGTGAGACTTACGGCTATAGTCAGTCTTTTCTTAAAATACATGTAGGTACCAAGATAGGTAGCTGGCATCACAATACCTTGTCCTAAACCTAAAAACAGAGCTTACATTATTTTTAAACCAAATTATAATTAAAATGTTACATCAGCATGTCAAAGAAAAACAGCATTAAGTAGATAATAGCGTGATTTTTATACACTGAGTGAAACCCCATCGTCAGCTTGTTCAGTTTTTTCTGTACATTTTATAATTCTTCTTCTAAAACTACTTCTTGTTGAAGCAATGCAAATGTGGTTTTCTTCATTCAGCCGAGTTCTTGTCATTGTTAAACCGTTTTCAGCATTATCTTTGATCATTGGAAATTAGTCCGTTTGTATCTTATTGTGCCCATTATGGTGAACGAGGCAAATTTATTTCGTACATCAAACATCAAGTAAATGAAACATATAATAAAATTTAATAGTGGCTCCATTCAAAAAAGTGTTAAAGTTGCTACTGAAATCGTCATTATACGACTTTGTCAATAATTAATTATTAAATTAGGCAAACTCGGAAATCCATATGTGCTCACTAAAACAATGATTGTATGTGCGTTACACGAAACAATAATGGCTTGCGTGTAACTTACATAATACACAGCTAAAGGACACATGCCTATGGAAATGTGTTTACCAAACTTTCTATTGTTCTCTTAAAAAAATTATATCTTTTAATACTTCAAACTGCAGATGTTTGAAGTATAAGCAAAACTGATAGTTCTCTGATAGTAGTTTTGTGAAAACGTGTTGCGCCCAGGAAATAAACGTTCGAATCGAAATAGAATTTTTTGAGAAAAGATAATTGTTTAGAGATCTTTGAAATTATGATTACATAATATCAAAAACCGACCGATACCAAATGGTTCAACATTTAACATAGTTACTAACAAGTTCATCAGTAGATTCTCAGTCTTTGAACCATCCCATTAAATAAGCAATCTTGCATGATGGTTGTTGTTATCTTTTGACAAATAATGTTCTTTGTACGGCCGGAACTTTTGCATAAAGAAGTACTTATTCTGATACTTGATAAGTGGAAATGATTAATTGTATTTCGTGTTGATGCATGATAATTCCAAAATTAAACAGATGCCATAAAAAACATTTATTGTGGTATCATTTACCTTCGAATTATATTAAAAATTTAGCTAATTTTTTTGTCAATTTGGTCAATTCCATTTTTTTTTAACATGTTATTAACTTTAACTTTATTATTCTTTACTTGAACATGTTAAGAGAATTCGTGTGGCCCTGCCGTGATACAATTTTTTGACATTTTTCATCTACTGTAGTCGTATAAATAACTTAAAATATATAGAAAATACTCGGGTTTAATGTGCTAAGAAATAGAAGTAGGATTGAAATATCGGTACTTTAAGAAAATTCGATTCAGTCATAACAACATGAGTGAAGAAGTTTGAGTAGTTTTGACCCATAAAGCAAAATTTGAACATTAGACACTTAGGTGCAAGACTGCCAAAATTTCATGTTTTCTGTCTCGTTTTTGCTAAATGACCTTTTTGGAAAGTAGGTGATCGGTAAGGAAATGTTGGGGGTTTTCTCAAAAAAGTCTTGATTTCAAGAAGTTTTAGATTTGCGTGTTTTTTTTTTGAGTTGCAAAATCGACTCAAACATGACGCTGCTTTTTTCGAAGTTTCTCAATTCGTTTTCGCATCGTTGGATAGAGAATCAAAAATTCGATTTAGTCATAACAACATGAATAAGGAAATTCGAGCAGTTTTGACCCAGAAAGCGAAATTTGAATATTAGACACTTAGGTGCGAGATTATGCCAACATTTCATGTTTTCCGACCCGTTTTTGATCATTTATCGGAACCAAAACGAGCCAGAACGCTCATTTTTACTTTATTCCAGATTCCAGAGAGAACGTCATTTACTTCTCTCTTCGAGTTAGTCTTTAGAGAAAGTGAACCATCGGTAAGGAAATGTCGGCGGTTGCAATCACGTTCATTCAATTATGCGTGCATCAACAATATAAATCCCAGTTATTTACTTACCTATTAAAATAGAGGTAGAAAATATTAAATAAATATACGAGGTAGCAAAACTGCTTAAAAGTATTCCCAAACACATCATGCCCGCTCCAAAAAAGGCCACTGGTCGCATTCCGTACAGTTTCAAGAAGGGGCTTGTAAAAAACCCTGAAAAGTTCTGTTTTAGCATCGACATACTTAAGACAATTTCAATGTCTTACCTAAGGAACAATATAAGGAACTGTGCAAATGGAGTAAGAAGGATGTCTGGGCCGATGTGACCCTCCATGCCTCGAACTCATCTCCAAATATTAAACCGAAACAGGGCACTAAAGTGAGCAAACTTAACTGAAAACAAAATAGATGCATAATACTTAAACACTAGGGAAATTCACTACTTACATTGATTAATATGATTGCGCCAACTATCACCCAACCGTAACCGCCATCTGGATAGTAAGTTTCTTTGGAGTTTTTTTCGTTGGCGTTCATTGCTCGGTTGCAATCGGCAGAACTCACATTATTTCTCTCTGAAAATCTCAAACACTTCACATTAAACGCTAACAATGAGACTTGGACATTACCCGAAAGCGCAACTCAATTGAAATAATATTGACATATATAGATAAAAGTCTAAATTATGCGATTACGAATAAGACAAAGGCTTTTATTTACAATAAAAACACTAAATTCTTCCATGGGCGGAGAGAACATTTAGTTCCCTTTGATTACTTAGACTGATTGTAATCTGCAGTGGATTGCTACTTACTTAATTAGACTAATTAAAAATTATAATACATGTAGGAGGATTAATCTAAAATTTATCGGATCGCGCAATCTTATCACAAATCGGATGATTGAAATTAAAGTTCTGCCTGCGAACGTTTTATTAATATTGGCATCCGTTGGACATTTCAACAAACGAAATTTTTATATGTCCTGGTATATATTTTATTGCATTCGTTATATTATCTTTAAACAGTAACCAGGGGTAATGCTCTCAAATTAGCAGTACCATATCGCATGCAATAAATTTTACCAGGCATTGTGTGAAACATATTATCATTTATTACTTACTTTAATGCATACATAATCAGACTAGTGGCTACACTATCAAGGACAAGTTTCGACTTGAATCTGCTTTTATTTGGAGCGAGAATCTAAACAGGGCAATTTATTTAAATAAAATTAATATTCTAAATTCATAAACATAGGTCTGCGCCCGAATATATCAGATCCATTGTTTTATAATACAACACCTGCACAATTTGCTACAGTCATATTTCTTGAAAGGTAGGAAACTGTTTAACTGAATCAATATTTCAAAAATGTTTTTTAATAAACCGCGTGTTCAAAAATTATAAGCAATTCTTTGTCTTGATGTGCCTGCTCTCTTTAGGTTTACGGCATTGGCCATCACTTTTGCCCATTTCTATCTCAGTACCGCAGCTATCGACTCCTGCTTCTAATTGCCATTTTGACCCGCTTAATTATCTTTGGCTGATTTAGGTAAAAAGCTAATTAACGCCTTTAACTGGTTTGTTGTGAATGCTTTTCAACTGCGTAAAAATGTTATTATTTTATATTTTCATTCATTCCTTTCAAACCGTGCGTTTCGTATTATCTAGAATTATGCAAGCTTCTTTTTCGGTCCAGTTTTCCTCTATTATCTACTGCACTATTGGGTAAATGAGGAACTATTAGTTTTAAGAATTATGTGTCCCAGATATGCTGCTTTTCTAGCTTGATCAATCATCCTCAGTTTTTTACTGCCTCCAGTAGATGCACCAAATGGAACTACAAATTTTCCACTCTATCAGTACTTAAAATTGGAAACTTGAACATTTTTTTTTATTTCTTTAATATATTTGCCTATCTATAGAAATCGCGCATACCAAATATCAGCCCTCAAATAGCAATTTTTAATTTGCAATAAACAATTAAAGTTTTGGTCGATACATGCTCCGCATTGCAGCCGCCACGGCCGACTAGCTACTTGACGTCACAACTGGTCTCAGCCAATGACGGCGCGTTACAAGAATGATTTGAATTATACAGTTTTTAATTGCTTACATTAATTACATACAAACAAAAAATGAGTTTTTTGGTAAACTGTAGTGCTTTTAATAGTATTAAGATACGTTTGCGAGTAATATTTTGCAAATTTAATTTTTGTGCAAGTTCCCAATTCCATGTTTCCCAATGTAGATTTTCAATTTTACCTCATTTTCAAAGCAATGCATAATGCATTTGAATGGATACTCTAATTGATACGAGATTTTCTGATTGAATGTCAAAGGAAAGTTTTTCTGACAAAAAATGTTGGAAGCGCTGCAAGAACTATATCTCCTATCTTTATTCTCTCCTTCAAACAATTACCCGGTGCGGAGTTTCGTTCAAGATCAAGAAAAATCGGCGCAAAACAAATAAATGACTGTCCACGCTTGGTGTTAGTGCTTGTTTAGCCAAGCACAGATTTAATTGTTTCTTATCAGTACTGACTGCTTGGAGTGTGCCATTTTACTAGTGTTTCGATTTGTTATCAAGGTTTTAAAATACAACAATCTTGCAAAAAGTAAAAAAGTCAGAGTAAATTTAGTTTCAAAACAACTTCTAAAAAAAAAGCTTAGAGATCAGTAAGAAGTACTAAAAATCCATACATCCTAATTAATTTATTGTTATTTTTATGTTATATTACATATAATTTAATGCATTAAAAAACATTGTTTGCTTTCAATTTGTTGTTCCCAAAGAAAAAGCTTAGAAAATACCCGTTTAAGTATATTCAAAAGACAAAATCGATCAAAGGAATCTCTTTGTATTGTTGTATTGTTCTTTGTCGTATTGTTTGAGCAGGTCCTTCTAATTTTAAACTCCTTTGTTTATTTTTTTTACTCATACATTAATAATACAATTCAATATAATAGCAACATTTTGTAAAATCATTGTTCTTAATATTGTGTGTTTATTGACACATTCAATTAGTAAAGATAAAAAATTAATACACAATTTTTAATAACTTGATTGAAACATTTGGTAAATTGAAAATACCAAAATAAACATTTCGAAATGAATCTCATTTAGTCTAGTGATCCAATCTAATTACCATGTAAGTAGCAGACCGTCCGTCTTATCATCTGGTGCAATGTTGAAATTAAAAAATTTCAATTTTTACATGTCACCATACAAATATTTGTATTTTAACTAAATAATTATTTATAACTAACTAATTAAAGGTTATGTAGGCATTGTCAAAATTTAAATGTCAGGCTCCAGGCTATTTAAACAATGTCTCCACCAGGAGGTACAAACGGTTAGCATTAGCAGTAGTACCAATATAGGAAATAATGATTTTTGAGCTTTTGCAGCATGAAAGCCTTGTTTATTGTAGGGCTCGGAATTTTTAAAAATCTGATATTCGAATATTCGTTTAGTGGTTTATACGAATAGTAAAATGATTCGAATACTCGAATATCTAACGAATATTCGTTAGATATTCGAGTGTTCGTTTTCCGTTCACCGTTTTCCAAGAAGAAAAATCGTTATCTCATATCATTTTTGGCAACTAGCCGCAACGGATAAAAAAGTGCCTTTGTCGGCACATTAATTGTAACACCGCGCAAAAGTTGATGACGCGTATCACCAGAACACAGAGACGTAATTTTATATTCATTTGCAGGAGAGTAAATATGATTATTTTCATTTGCTTGTAAATATATGGGTATTTGTTTAAATGCTTGTAGAATGTGAATAATTTATTTTATAAAAGTATACAAAGTGCATATGAAGATATTTGCACCTTGTGAGTTTGATAATGTTGGTGTTTTCGAGTATTCGAATATTCGGATATTCGAATATTCGAGTTATGACTACACATAATTATTCGCTTTTCGAATATTCAAAATATATGTTAATGACAAAAATGGCGAAACGACGATCTTCAAAAAATTATACATAATGTTTCATTGAAAAAATCCTACAATTTCGTTATTAATTTTAATGTGGCTAATAGTTTGCGAATTTAACCCAAATTGTACCTATGATAATAGAGAAACTTCGCGCTTGTAGTAGACAAAACAATATTTATAAAAAAAAAACACACGCCAACAAAGGCTGATTTAAACAAAAGGACATTGAGGTGGGAGCCTTATATTTAAAAATATCTAATATAATACAAAACTAGAAATTAAAAAATATTAGATCTTAAAGTTAACACAGATGATAACAAAGAGTTAAACTTTCGAGGTAATTCAGCCTGTATGCTATTGAAAGCTTATTGCGAATGGAAAAATATGATATCATCGGCTGCAATTGCTGTCGTACTTCTGGCTGCACCGTCTTCGCCCTTTACTTCGCCATAAGTAATTCGGCCTGACACATGAACTCTTTGTCCTTTTTTCAAATAGTTTAGCACACTTTCGCGAAGCCCTGGCTTGAAACAAATCACTCGGTGCCATTCGGTTCTTTGCAGAAACTCGCCAGATTCGTATCGGTAGTTTGTGTGTGTGGCAAGGGAAAATACTGCAATGGGATGCTCGTCTGAACCCTTTCTTTGGGGGTCCGCTCCCACTCTGCCCAGCAGGGTCACATTGTTGATTGCTAGCGATAAATGACCGTGTTTTAGTTTTATCTATTTATTTATAAAGGTTTAATCAGTTTAACATTTTTTAAATTATCGAAATATGCTATAAAATATGTATATGAATATAGGTAGTTAAGGACTTTTGAACATTTTGACATTGACACATGACGAACAGACACATGACACATGAAGGACTAGTCTATGACCTGCTATACCAATCAGAGGAAAACTATAAAACGAAACCATGCCAAAAGTATTAAAACCAATCAAAACTATCCTATTTATAAAACCAGCTTGCTGCTACTACTGGTGTCCGATTCAAAATATTATAACCAGTTCCGTAAAATATGGGATGCTCTGTGGAAATTTGTGCCCTTTAATTTTTATTCCCTTATCCCAGACATAAAAAAACGACCTTGTTTCGCTCCAATATACTATATGTATATACAGGGTGTGTCACGTCGATGGGGCCCCTCCACATACGAAAAGGTACTCGCAATTCGAGTTTGAAAATTTGTTAATCGGAATTTCTCAACTTTCTTATTTTAAAAAGAAGAAGGGTATATTATAATATACCCTACACCAAAAGCTAACAGTTTATGAGATACAAACAATTTAATTTATAAAAATGGCCGCTTCAGGCTAGGCAAAAAACACGAAAAATTTCACGAACCTACCGAAGAGGTGACCGAAAGAAGTGATAAATTTAGAAAAAATGCTCGCACCGACAAATTTCTTTTATAAATTGTCAATTGCGAGTATTTCTTCCGTAAATGTATAAAAGTCTATCGTCTGTGTTCCTGTTCGCAAAATACGTTAGGAAATTTTTAAGAGTTATTCTACAGGTTGACATATTAATAGTAAGTTATGTAGGTAGCAAAAATTCAAAATCGGAATATTTTCCGAGTTACAGCTCATGAAACTTCATTTTTTTCTTTTAATTTTTGACCTATTCTGAACACTTCTTCCCGGATTCAATTGAAAATCGGTACAGAGTTTTAGCTGTCTGTGATCTGTAACTTTCTGGGAAAGAAATCTTTATCCACGTTGCCACTGGATGGGACTTTATCTTAACTCCAAATTTCATATTCCCGATAACTTTTTTGGCACACCAAATATGGCAAAAAGTAATGTGGGATTTTAAGGATCAATTTTAGACAAAAAATGTGCTCTTCACCCGACTCAAAAAACCTCTTTGTTTAACCCAGTGTTCTTGGATTTAATTGCAATAGCAGCAAATCAAATCGTCTGGTTTTAACATGTGCAAATTTGACAATTTATAGTTATTATTGTAATACTGTTGAATTGAGACAAAATTGTTGTGCTGTATTTGAATGCAAAATTTGAATATTCTCGATCAATTTTAATTTAGTGGTTTTAGAGCACACAAATTTAGTCTAACTTGAACAGTAATACAATAATTACTATAAATTGTCAAATTTGGTACATTTTAAAACCAGACGACTTGATTTGCTGCGATTGCAGTTAAATCCAAGGCCACTGTTTTGTAGTAAGAAAAACTTTATTGTCGATTTGGTCCTAAACGACAAGGTTTTTTGGGTCGTGTTTAAAGGAAATATTTTTCTTGTATTTTCAAGTGTTTAAAATGGCACATTCCTTTGCTTTTGTTGCGTTTGCGATATTTGGCATGACAAAAAAGTTACGGGGAAAATAAAATTTGGATTTCAGGTAAAGAACCATCTAGTGGCAAAGTGGAGAAACCATTTTTTCTTAGAAAGCTAGAGGTCACTTAGCTAAAACTCTGTACCGATTTTCAATTTAACTTGCGAAGAAATGTACAGAATAGGTCAAAAATGAAAAAAAAAAAATTTGATGAGCTGTAACTCGGAAAATATTCCGGTTTCGAATCTTTGGTTCATGACTTACTACTATTATTGTAGCCAGTAGAATCACCTTTAAAAACTTCCTAACACATTTTTGGAACACCCTGTATATGTATACAGTGAGTCTGCCCTGTCTGTTTTTTCATTTCACGCGACATTCGTTAGAAAAAAACCTATCAACATTTCAACATATCGCATAAACATTAACTTGATCCCAATCCCAATTATATAAATATATATAAATGATATTTAAATTCTGCCGTTTAGAAGATTTTGCGGTATAGATATTTTTTTTGCCAAAACATGTAATATTAATACGTCTGGCAAGTTCCAGACAGTTATTGTTGTTATAGTAACATATAGTTAAATGACGGGGCTACCCCCCAGAGACCCAACTCTACCCCCCTCTCTTGCGGTAGTCTACAACGATACAAAATAAGCTTGTGGCAATACTGGTCAGCGTGATTTTTCATTTTTGGCTCACTTTATTTCCTTCCCAATTTAGTTCTGCACTTTTATTAAAAAACGCTAATAAGCCTAGATTTTTTAAAAATAATTAAGATGTGTGTAGAACATGGAATTATACAAATGACTACCGAATAACCTTACATTTACAGATGTTTCAAGTGATTCCTTCGTGTTAAAGATGAAGAGCCGTTCATGTTTCTTTGGGGAATAGAAGAAAATGTAGTTTATGCTCGCGCATTTTTTAATACTTTGAACAAATTATATGTTTTTTGTCATGCCAGTTGCTTACTTTTCTCGATGCGGGCAGGTTCCTGTTGGGACATAGTTGAGGAGGCATATCGTTTCACGCCACTAAAGAGCCCTTCAGGTACATTTTTCTTTGGAACTAACGACAGAAGCTAAAAACACAAATTAATCTCCGCTACTTTTTGGCTGTTCAAACTTGTCAACTTACCCTATAAGAAAACATTATGGCACTAGCAATAAGCGAATTAAGTAAGATAACAGGATAGTTTATAACATTAACTGAACACTTAATGTTCGGCTAAAAAATGCTTGTAAAAGTGAGGTTATTCTTCAATCTGCTTCAATTGAATATCGAATCGAAGCGTTTGTCTAAAAGATGCCACTCATTTTTTAATATACAGTAGGCTATGCTGAGCGCGGCTCTACACAATTCAAGGTTTTAAAACGGATAATAGATGGCGGGGATCTACTAACGGGTCGATATATCGCGAAATACATCCAATAAAAGGTAATTGTTAAGCGCTCTCAGCGATGCCAGGTCTTCCGATTTTTCAGATCTACAGATTTCTACCGAAAAGCAACAAATAAAAGTTCATATGAGAAACATACTGAGAAACCTATTGGACTGTTTTTTAAAAAGGAATTACTTACTTTCTGTTCCAATTTCCAACATTGACATTAAAAATCCTAATAAATTCTTACCCGTTTCTGACATCTATTTAGGTGTTAATGTACAGAACACAATTTTAGAATCCGTAATATCAGAACAGCAACTGACGTTTTTTAAGTTAAGGTGTTTAGATTTTAATATCGAAGGGTGCTCACAAATAATAAAGCGGTACCCACTAAAAAATATCCCTATGGAAAAATTATGTTTTGTGGATCCGGACAATCTATTTCTGATGTTGCGATGGTATTTCCAAATTTTATAAGTAATAGCAGAGACAAGACTTGTCTCTGGTAATAGTGAATTACAAGGTCTGGACGTGGTCTGGACACAGAATGGCATCTATTGCGAAATGTCGAAGAAATTCAAAAATTTTCTGAAAATATGAAATATGGAGATGAAAAAGTCGTGTTTCCAATTTTAACGAATTTTATTTGTAACTTGCTTATTCTGCCTCACTCATCAGCCAATGTAGAAAGGAGATTTTCACAGGTTAATCTAATGAAAACTAAGTTGATAAATAAGTTAAAAACTAGTACAATTTCATCTTTACTCCACACCAAGAGATATATTGGTGGAAACAATTGTCAAAGTTTTGAAATTGAAGATAACCTTGTGTTATCTATGAATGATAAAATCTTATATAAGGATAATTTGCAAGACTGAGAAGATATTTTTATTTAAACGAAAGAAAAGTGCTTAGTTCGTGAAATTAGTATTAATAATTTTATTAGGATGAAGCATAATTATTAGCATAATTTTATTAGCTGATGAATATTTTATTTATTTTTCGTGTGTATTATTTTATTTTTGTTAACAATGTGTTGTAATGTTTAAAGAAATATTATAAATATAGCTATTGACTCTCATGTTTATTTTAGTATTACAGCAATAATAAAATAAACATGAGAGTTCGTAAAAATTCAAGTTTTGAAAACGTGCGATGTTATGGAGCCCTTAATAATGAAAGCAAAATGAGTCTACCGATGTTTTACGATATCTACCGATAAATGTCGAGCTTATCTACCGAAATTCGATTTTCGGACTTGGCAACGCTGAGCGGTCTTCACACCAGTGTGACCAGATTGGGCGATTTATCGTAAACTGGGCTACTTTTCGGAGAGTTTTGCGACGAACATTTTGAGAAAGTCGCCAAGCGACTTTTGGGCGGTATTTCACAATTTTCACCTTATTTTGGGCGATTTGTAACTTCGATTTATGCAAATATCTTTATATGCAATTTGTATACTTTTATAAAATAAATTATTTATATTCTACAGGTAAACATATAACCTATACATATCCCAAACAGCACAAAGACATCTTAAAGACGTCTTTAAGATGTCTAATTCAGATATGTGAGACGTCTTAAAGATGTCTGTATATGTCTTGAAGACGTCTTGAACAGATGTCTTAAAGACGTCTTGAACACAGTCACAATCTGTCCTTATACGTAGGTTATTATTATGTGTATGTCAGGAAAATACACCCTGTCAGAGTAATTTCCTTCAACATTACATTTATAATCACCGAATTATATTGAATAAATTACCGAACAAACACCTCCCCCCCCTTGTTCCGAAGGTATGCAATGTTTGAATAAAACCGCAATTTGTTACCCAATGGTGTTCATAAAACAGTTTCTCCTTTTCTCCTTTTCTCCTTTTATATTTCAAATCATTTCGTCGTGGTGCTAAGGAATAACATTTGCAGTTTATAAAAGCACAGCTTATATATCATATATATTTAAGCTGTGGTAAAAGTGCGAACAAATAAACGAACTACTGAATTTATTAAATTTTTTCAGTAAAAATTTATTAAAAAACTTTTTAATAAACAGTAAAATAAATTATTTCAATAAACATTTTTAGACGAATTAAATAATAATCGGTACATTCTAATTGATAAGGTAAGGTAATTTTCTATAGATAAAGTCAATAAAATCCACAGCAGTAACTTGTCCCAATCCAGATTCCGTGTTTTGATCGAGTCCAGATTCTCTTGTTTCCAAATGCTTACAACTCAAAGGCTGCAATTGTTTTTGAAAAGTAAGAAAAAGAAATATTTTGCTTAAAAAAATTACAAACCGTGTGACATGCGGAAATGCGATCAACAGTACTGCTATTTATCATTTCCATTACGGTTTCCTCGATAATATCCTGCATATTTTCGTCGTCCATGTTATTTGTAGGCGATTGGATTATATTGCCCGGTATGGACCACAGATTGGGATACGTTTGGTTAAATAGAATGAATTCGGGAGTGACCTAAAAAATCCAGTGCAAAATGACTATGTAAGAAATTAACAAATAATGCTCGTATGTTTGTGAAACATTGCGAGCCCAAAGTTTTATGTGGAACAAAAGACATAAATATTTGGTAGCAAATGAAGATTCAGGAGTTTATTTAGTAAATCAATTTTTAGAAGCCAGTTTAAAAAGATGCAGTTTTTCATTAGGCACCTTTCTCGCGTAGGTCTTAAAATTACATTTTGCTAGTTATGTTTTTATTCCAAAAATTATTTGTCCGCTACGCCGCAAAAAATCCCTTTCATGTTATGATTATCGGACAACGAAAAAACTCTTCATTAGTTATGTTTGTACGTTACGTCTACGTTGTAAAAAGCAATTTAATTATTTTACCTCATATTGTTGCAGTAGCCTTAACAGTTTTGTAACAATGGCCACTGTGGTGCCAAACACTTGTTTCGGGGTATTTTCATTGCGCAGAATGCAATGGAAAACACTGAAGCATCCGGATTTACTCATGCCATCTAGGGCTTGAAACAACCGCTTTCGGATTTCCTTGTCGTTCAGCCTGATTATCTTCTTGTGCTCCTTCGAGAAAATAACACTCGGGAAAACATCGTCACTCATACCTGAAATTTAATTTATCATAAACAGTGAATTTGGTTGGAGTGGAAATTTATTGAAAAGCCAGGGATTTGTTTTTTGGAAAAAGACTCGGACTCGTCAATTCCTATACAGGGTGTCCCACCGGAACCTGCCGCGATCGATATCTGACAAACTCTGATTAGGAGAAATTTGAAAATTGGACAGTGTGCCCAGGTCATTGGGGGCAAGCGATCTAAAATATTTTCAAAATGGCCACACTTCGGGTTATACCGGAAGTAGGTATCAACTTGCTTATTTTAAATAGAACACCCTATATATTGTTGCATTTTTGAATTCTACTCCAAATTTTAAATTTATTATATGTATAATATCCTATGCCTAAGTCTAACCGTTTTTGATATATTTGGAATTTAATGCAAAAAATAATAATAAGTAAGTTTAAATAATTTTCGTTTGTATAGTTTAAGCGCCCGGGCATGATTATTAATTATTTTCTAAAGGCAACTGACAGCTGTCAGCATTCCTTTGGCATTTTATTGTATTAAAAATGGCCACTTTCGTCATGGCAACGAAGAGTGACTGGATTTAAAAGAAGGTGCTGCAAAATAGCCATATGAAAACATTAAATTGACAATATTTCGAATACTAAACCCTTTTGGAATAGACATCGTTACACAAACTTACACTTATTTTTAATACTAAATATGATAAAATTATCAAAAATGGGGGTTTCCATTTGAAAAAATTGATTTTGGGCGTTTTTATCAACTGTATTTTAAAACTTATTTTTTTAACATTTTGTATTAATAGTTTTCAAAATGTTTCCGAGATTCCATTAAAGTAAGTCCTTTTGGACTCAAATTAAGTATGACAAATTCCCTTATAGGAAAAATGAATAATTATTCGAGTGGCTGCAACTGTCATTTTTTACATAAAATTTCAAATATCTCAAAAACTGTTAGACTTAGGTATATGATATTATACATGAAATTAAAATCAAATCCTGGGTTCTTCAGTCATTTATTGTTCATTTATCAATTAAAAAAACGTTACGTACTTTCCTGACTGTGTTTCAATTCCAAATTAAAATCAAATCCTGGGTTCTTCAGTCATTTATTGTTCATTTATCAATTAAAAAAACGTTTCGGTGTTTTCCACCATCATCAGTTTCAATGTGTAGCGTTCTTGCTACTTTACGCCTTGGCATGTATTTGGAGTATTCTCCAATTTGAAAAAAGTACGTACAATTATACATGAAATACATTTAGAATTCGCAGTAGAATTAAAAAATGTAATAATATATAGGGTGTTCCATTTAAAATAAGCAAGTTGATACGCACTTCCGGTATAACCTGAAGTGTGGCCATCTTGAAAATATTTTAGGTGGCGTGCCCCCAATGACCTTGGCACACTGTCCAATTTCCAAATTTCTGCTAATTACAGTTTGCCAGATATCGATCGCGGCAGTTGCCGGTGGGACGCCCTGTATTGGGCCGTGGCCTAATATACAGTGTGTTCCGTAAATATGTTAAAATATTTTAACGGCGTGTTCTCCTAGCAATTTCAGAGGGAGGTTTTCCTGAGAAATTTTGTAATTTGAGGTCTTATTTTTGAGATATTTGATCTCCAAAATGGCGAAAAATATTAGTTTTTGTTGTTTTTCTTTAAAACGATTAAACATAGAAACTTTTTAATATACATTAACAATTTTAGTATACATTATAAGCTAATTTAGTCCCATTCTATGGTAGTGTTTCGTGGTTCAGTTTGCTTTACACAGGGTAGAAATGTGGAACCTCTACTTTTGTTTTGTTCAGAACTTTTTTGTGTGCACTTAAACTTTTATCAATATATATTTTTTTATTACTACAAGTTATTTATCAACTTTTTTATCTCTTATTGTTTTTTCTGAAGGGCACTCGTCTTCCCGCAAAAAGCTATTAAATCGTTTGGGCTTGATCAAAACTTTCCAAGCCGAATTGCATTGGAAGAGGACAAGAAGCTTCTATAAACTCGCCTCCTAGATCTTCCGATCTAAACGCGCTTGATTTTTACATCTGGGGCCATTTAAAAAATACGGTGTATTCAACAGAAGTGAATACAATCGAAGAACTGCAGGAAAAAATATTTAATATTTATAACGAAATAAGAACTTTACGGTCTGTAAATTTTAATCTCATTAAAAGACTGCGATTATGCCAAGAATGTCAAGGTGATTAATTTGAACAGCAGCTGAAAAGTTAACATTAGAATGGTTATTTAAATTTAATTTTGTTTGTTTATATCGTTGCGCATATTGTTACCATGTTATTATTTAAGTAAAATTTATTCAAACTTAATAATTGTAATCCAACACACACAATTTAGAAAATTAATTTAGGTTGTTAGTAATCAACTAATAATGCGTACCAAATTGTACTATGAAAACGTTATTAGATTAAAAAAAAATAACTTAATTACTTACAGATTTTGAGAACGGCAACGAAAACGATTTTAATTTTTTGCGGGCAAACTAGTGATCTTAGGAAAAAACAATAAGGGATAAAAAAGTTGGTAAATAATTTGAAGTAATTAAAAAAAATATGTCGAGAAAAGTTTAAGTGCACACAAAAAAAGTTCTGACCAAAACAACAGTTGTGGTTCCACATTTCTACCCTGTATAAAAGCAAACTGAACCACGAAACACTAAAATAAAATGGCACTCAATTAGCTGATAATGTATACCAAAATTGAAGTTGCTATGTTTAACCGTTTTAAAAGAAAACAACAAAAGCTAATATTTTTCGCCATTTTGGAAATCAAATACCTCAACAATGAAACCTCAAATTAAAAAAATTCTCAGGACCCCCCTCTAAAATGACTAGAAGAACACGCTGTTAAAATATTTGAACATATTTACGGAACACGTAACACGTCATGAACTTATTTAACCATAAACTCCTGATCATTAATTTAAATGGTTAATTACATTAAATTAAAATTTAATTACATTAAATGGTTAAATATTCCCAGAGATTTCCGTTGTGTAAATGTATTTAAATATACATATTGTTTAATTGTAAATATTGTAAAACTTTAAGTATTTTGTTTAATTTAAAATGCTTCTTTCCATTTTGCCCGCCTTTGAGGCATGTAAATTAGATCCACCCTGACTGTCTTGTGGCCTAATGTTGATGAAATCGGCGAAAACTCCATGTGAAAATTTCGGATTCCCTATTATGCGTGTATCCAATTAAGCTAATTGTTGTAATGAGATGTTACAAAGGCATGTTTTTGTATGGCATGCGCTCGCAAAGTAAAGACAACCCTTTGCATTTGCATTCCTTTCAGATTTAATTAGCTTAAACGTATAAAATTTGTGTATTGTATGTTCACCATACAAGGCGAAATTCATTAGCAGCATAGAGAAAATTGACGTTGGAACAACCGCAACTAAAAATAAGAATCCACGAGTTTGAGTCATTTTACTAAAAAACCAACTCTTAACTTCTAAATAAGTCTGTTCTTCCATATATTTACCAATGATTGGCACTCCATATGCGGATTACTGCATATTGAAAAATTTTTATCTAACTTGCAAAAACAAGTACCTTTGCGAAAAAATAGTAACAAAAACAATATTTGAGGAAATATACGGACGCAAAGTCATACCTTGCTTCTCTAGCAGTTTTTTTGTAACCTGGTCCCAAAATTTGACTGCCTGCTCTTGCACATCATAATTGTTCTCTCGCAGAGCCACTTTGACCATTACCTTGTATATCTTCCGGTTAGCCTCTTCTGAGTTGCAATCGCATTGGTATATTTGCCCTATTAATGTTATCGCCTCCCTGATTACTATCGCTTCCTGCTCCTGCGAGACCAGTTGCAAAATTTTGTCCTTAAATATGCACAAGAACGCTGTAGTTAGAACGCAAAGCCACAAGTAAAAGCTCAGGAGTTTGCTTACAATAAATCCATAGCTGAAGAGAGTATTTCCAATATCTTCCATTACTAGCATCTGTTGAAGACATTTGAGTGCTGTCGCACGAACGGAGGCATCAGAATCGGTCAGTGCCATGCTCATTATCAAGTCATGGGAAAGGGTTTCTTCTAAAATTTTCTTGAACGAACTGAACCCTACAAGCGGGGTGCAACTAGATAAAATGACAAATCTTCTGATGTGGTTTCACCTCTGGGCAGTAATTACCTTTATTCACCTTTTGACAAATAGTGCAGACCACAGTTAAAGCGGCATTCCGAACTTCGCAATTGCTGTTGAGGCTTTTATTGAACAGCATCGATCCCAGATCGTTCAAGTAAGAGTATTGTGTGGTGTCCACTAGCAGGGCCATGTATGGAGACATGTGTTTCGATATTGTTATGTTTAGTGTTTTCAATGACTTGAGAACTACCTAAGACAGTTATGGTTATTTAAGAATCAATAATGAACAGACCTGAGTTACTTCTGATGGCCATCTGGCTGAATAGCATAAAAACTCATAAACTAGATGAGCCAATTCAATGCTTCCAATGCTTTCGCGCCAAGACAAGTCGAAGTTCTCCAGATAGGCCAGAATGGCTTCCAGAAGAGCTTCAGCCAGCAAATGATCGTGATCTAGTTCTCCTTTATCGGGGTTTTTCTTCATGTATTTAATGAAATCTCTTAAAGAGTACGTGAGCGCTTGGAAAACCACTGCTAGATTTTTCCGGCAGTACAAAGGTTTCGATTTAATCAAGCAGTTGAGGGCGGTGATTTCGATATCCAGTGGCTCCTTGGTTAATTGCTCTCGAATTTCGTAGGCTGAAAATTCGCTCCGTTTTTGTAACAGTTTTAGATTTAAAATTATAAAATGTTACCCAATGATACGCTATTGGCACTGGACATGTTGAGAATATCGGCTAGATAGCAGTGCCTTAATTCTTCTTCGCTGGTTTGAGGCACTCCAAGTAGCTTTTCAGCTATTATTATGATGGGTTCCACTTGGAACGACATTAGTTCGTCTTCTATATTCACTACTTTTCCTTTGAGGAAATACTGAGGCATTATTCGGGATACGTTTTTCCAATATTTTTGTGCATAGTAGTACAGTTCAAAGATGGTCTTTAGGTGACCTGAAGCATACATTTAGTTATTGGAACCTTCTATATTTTGGAAAATATTTAATTGAGTCACTCAATTAAATTTTAACTGAGTGAAATATAGGGCATATAAAGAGATAATAGCGTTAATACCGTGTGATTTTGTATAATATAGCCATCAAAATAAATTGAAAGATTAGCACAAAGTTTCTATTACAGTTTTAAAACGACCACATTGACATACAGGGTGAGTTAATTTAATTAATTTTTAGTTACCGGGGTTTTTAATAATTACGAAGGAACAAGTATTTACGTAATGTTAATTAGGGAGATTACCTTGAAAAACATTGTTGCCATCCTTCTGATCTAGTTTTTTGCAAATATCTGAGTTTTCAATACCATTTAATTTTTTATACTATTTTTTCTGTTCTCCCAAGACATCCCCAGACAACACTTCCAGAGGAATGACGCCAATTTTAAATCACTCTGTATTTTTGTATTTGTAGTTAAATTAAAAGTTTACTCGAAAAAATAATTTCTAGTTATAGGAAATTAACTTTTTCGACGCACTTCACATTTTATTGTTTTGTCTTTCACTGCAAAGCATAGACGCATCAAAAGACATCATTCGGCTTTTCGCATATTTTATTCTTTTTGAAATAGCGAAATTTATTACATTCATCGATATTAAATTATTTGTTTGTTTACTGTCTCCATTTAACGCATTTACTTTGATGTAAATGCATTTATTTGCAGGTTACTAATGGGGTCAGCTTACTAAGGGGGTGCAAGGGCTGATGGCTAGATATTGGTCAAAATAAGCCAACCCAATGACTTCGGTCATCAGGTGCACTCTGCTAGAAAACAAAAGAGACGCTGTCGACCGACCCATGGCGGTATAACCATCCCATCGGGAAATAAAGAAAATGCAGTTTTTAAGAAAACCCGCTATCAACCCGCACTGGGCAGCGTGGTAACGAAAAAGACCATATTTTTCCCTTCATTCATTCATTCATGGAAGATACATTCTACACAGTCAGTCTCCTCTGTCCCCAGCTGCTCCAATGTACCTGACCAAGGTGACGGTTAGAGCAGAGGGTGCTAAGAATACCCGGAAGAGACCTGGCCACCAAGGAAGACAACTTATGCATATAGCCTCATATAATGTCCAAACTCTCTCACCAGAAGCAAAACTATTAGAAATGGAAGAGGAACTTGATAACATCAATTGGGATATTGTCGGTGTTAGCGAGGTGAAACGTAGAGGAGAAGATCAGATCACTTTGAGGTCGGGCTACAAGTTCCACTTCAAAGGAGAGGAAGACTCACCATATGGCGGTGTCGGCTCCTACGTTCATAAAAAACATATACCCAACCTAGAGAAGATTGAATGTGTATCGCCCAGAGTTTATTTGGTTCTCAGATTGAATCCAAGATACAGCCTCAAAGTTATACAAGTAGATACATATATGCACCAACAACGAGTCATCCAGACGAGGAGATCGATGATTTTTATGAGTCGATCAGAATAAGCTTGCAGACCACGCAAACACACTTTGCAGTGATAATTGGAGATTTCAATGCTACGCTGGGTTTCATGTAGAATAACGCAGAAACAGCTTTGGGAAACTTTGGCTATGGAGAAAGAAACGAAAGGGGAGAAATACTTTTGGACTTTTTGCATCAGGAGGACCTTTTTGCAATCAACTGCTTTTTCACAAAGAAGCCCCAACGCCAATGGACATGGATGAGCGCAAATGAAAGAACTAAAAACGAAATTGACTTCATAATCACAAACAGAAGGGATATAACGATACTGCAGAATGATCCGAGCGAAGACATGCTTCAGTTCATTAATGTTCAGAAGAAATAACAAATTAAGTCAAAATACCAGGAACCTTTTGGATGAAAGAAGAAAACCAAAGCAAAAATACGATAAAAACTTTGACCTATTCAAACACCTAAATAAGGAAATACAGAAGGAAATTCGAAAAGACATTAGACAGCACAACACTAGAGAGATACCAACGACAATTGAAGAAAAAAAAAGCCTGAAAGTTCTGAGACAACATATGTCCACTGGAAGAAAAACCATTCACAGATTGAAAAACAGTCAAGGGCGAATTGTTTGCGACCCGGAAGGCATTCTGAACGTTATAGAAGGCTTTTACCGTCAGCTGTATGACGAGCATGGACAACGTGTTGCAAATCACACACTGCCCCAAGTGATGAACCTAGGCTCTGAACACGCTCTGAAAATTCCAGGCATAACATCGAATAAAGTAAGAAAAGCACTACATGAAATGAAGAACAATAAGTCTCCTGGTGAGGATGGAGTAGTGGTTGAGGCTATGAAATTGGCTGGGACGAAATTCCTACAGGCTCTAGTAAAAATCTTTAATAAATGTATAATTGAAGCAATAACTCGAACTCAGTCGCATACCGCAGTAATGATCCTATTGCATAAGAAAGGGGAGACCACAGGCCTTAAAAACTACCGCCCGATCAGCCTGCTTTCAAACATTTACAAATTATTCACCAAAGTTCTGACAAAAAGGCTAGAAAATAAATTAGAATTCTGCCAGGCACGAGAACAGGCCTGATTTAGATCTAGATATGGAACAAATGACCATCTATTGTCTATTGGCAATAAAAAATATGATAGAAAAGTGTGTTGAATACAACAAGCGTTTTTTGACACAATCAGTCACGAAAAAATGCTGGAAGCTAGAATGTCGTATATACCACCGATATACAAACATCATTCAAAATACAGGGTGTCCCGTAAGCACATGATCAAAAGGGTATTGCGATATTCTTTAGATCAAAATAAGACGATCTGACCAACTTATATTAACAAAAAATGTCTGGCTCCTCTGCTAGTGATGATCAAAATTCTTCAAATAATGTTTCTTTTTTGAAATATTGGGAGAATAGTAAGATGTATTTTGGTGAAACTCGCTGTGCATGAGTTCTTATGTAAGACTCATATTTTGATGAAACAATCGAGTTCAGCCGTTTTAGACAAGTGGTGAATTCTTCAGTGTCGTGATATAAGACCTACTACAACTTTTTATTTGGTGTAGTCACTAATCATTTACTGACAATTTTGTGCTCTTTGTAAAATCTTGTAGCATTCATAATTTTTTGCGGAAAAAAATATGTCTGTTTTCTAGCCACTTAACAATGCTAGACATTAACTGCAAATATGCGCCGCGTAAACGCGTACGCTTTCACGCAAGTTGTCTTCGCAAAACCCTAATACTTTGACCATCTGGGTCACTTCTTCATTAGAAAAGGTCATTCGAAACGAATTGAGTGAGTGTGTGTGTGAGTGATTGATTCACAATTATTTTATGCTTCGTATCACGATATTTGCAGTTAATATCTAACATTGTTAAGTGGCAAGAAAACAGAAATATTTTTTTTCGCAAAAACTGAATGTTACAAGATTTTACGAAGAGCACAAAATTGTGAACAAATGATTAGTGCATCAACCAAAAAAAATGAGTTTGATTTCACCCACCAAATAAAAAGTTCTGGTAGTTTTTGTACCACGACCCTCAAAAATTCTCCACTTGTCCAAAACGGATGAACTCGACTGTTTCATCAAAATATGAGTCTTACATAAGAGCAAATTGACAGCGAGTTTCACTAAAATACATAGTACCATTCTCTCTATATTTCAAAAAAGATAAATTTTTTGAAGAACTTTGACCATCAATAGCAGAGGAGCCAGACAGTTTTTGTTTATAAAAATTAAGTCACATCGTCTTCTTTTGATGCAAAGACTATCGCAGTATTCTTTTGATCATGTGCTTACGGGACAACCTGTATATATCGGAACGCCACAGCAAGTATTAGACAGGACGATAGACAAACTGAAAAATTCCCCATACAACGCGGAGTTCGGCAGGGAGACACCATTTCACCACGACTGTTCAGCACACTGTTGGAGTGTGCATGAAAGAGGGCAAATCTGAGTGACAAAGGTATCAATATAAATGGAGAAAATCTAAACCACCTTCAATTTGCGGATGATATTGTACTAATAACGGACCGTATAGACGATGCTAAAGACTTACTGAGCAGACTTCACCGCTCCTCCCTAGAAGTAGGACTGAATATAAATATGTCTAAAACACAGACTATGACAAATCTAATGCTCAGCGAAGGCTGCTCAGCACATTGCTGGAGCAGCCATCGATCAGACTGCGTCTTACAAATAACTAGGACACAAGATTTGCCTAGGAAGAGATCACCAAACCATCGAACTAATCCGCCGCATTAGATTGGCCTGGGTAGCTTTCGGCAAACTTAATTATGTTTTCAAATCAGATATCCCAGTAAGCCTTAAAAGGAAAACATTTGAGATGGTTGACTGATGATGATGATGATGATGAATGGGGTCAGATATGATAATCTAATCATACGTATAATTTAATTAATCAAATTTAACATTTGACGGGATAAATCGGCAAAACTTCAATATAATTTAATACATAAATGACAATCGTCTTCGTTCTATCGAAATTAGTAAAGGATTAGGAGCTTGTCTGCAGCAGAATTAATTGCAATTCGAACGGCAAAAAAGGTACATTGGTGTGTTTTTTAATTTATTCAAAATTAAATAATAATCATTTTAAAATGATATAATTATTTTAAAACCCGATTACGCTTTTCATTAAATTGCTTTAATTGTTTACTTACTTGGTGCCTGGTACAAGCAAGTTCTTTTATCTTCCAAACGAGACACAAGCTTGAATAATATATTTTTGAGAGAAGAATCAGTGACCCAAAAGTTTATTTTCAAAAATTTCCCGACCCTTGCTTATAAATAAAACTCTTATCTTGAAACATGTGCTGCTGTTCACGTACCATCAAAGCACGCAAATGTTCATTAAAATATTCTTGACGGTTTCTGCTATACAAATAGAAATTAACTTGCGTTCGTGTTCCTAAATTACTTGTAATTATAACTTTTAGGAATGAATCCAAAAAATTACAAGAACCCTATGTACCTATTGTAATTTACAAAATGAAACTGATAACTAATGTATCATATATCTGTTCAATTTAATATACTTTTACTATTTTTTGAGAATCCAGAAAATGTTAAGAAGATAATTTGAGAAAGAAATTTAAAGACCGAAAAAATTGGAAGATTTTGGAACAAAAACAGGCGTCAACAAAGCATCCAACAGAAAAATTGTATAAAGCTGTTAAATTACTACCAAAAGCAAACATTTTAAGTCAAATTACGTTAATATTTCGAATATTATTGCTATTTGTTATCTTTTTATGCAGATATACTTACTTTTCTTCAGTTCCCTTTCAATAATTTTCAAAAAACCGCTCAATGCTATTGGATCGTGATTGACCACTTTGATGCCATCGAAAAGTTCGGTCATTTCATAGAAGGATAGAATGATCAAGATTCTGTTCACTTGCAACGAAAACTCAGTGTCTTTGGATAATATTGCTAAAGTGTCGGTGGCTTCTCGCACCTGCATCTTGATAAAGTACTTTAAGGTGTCTGTTCCTGGACTCGATAAAAGTCTTTCCAAAGTCTCCACCAGGCAAGTGATGCTTGGTAGTAAATTATTGTAGTCTTTAGGATCTATCAGCTCCATTGGTTGGGTTTTCGTTTTGGGCACGTTTCTGCTGGACACTTCAATTAGAGTTTGAATCATTTGCTTGATTACGTGTATGCACACCTTTGGAGCCTGGTTCGACGTTTTTTGCAGGAATTTGGATAGAATACAATACCTGAAATAGTTTTTTTAAATTTAGAAACTCGAAAGCAAAGGATTCAGTTTACGTGTATGCACGCAGATATGAATATACGATGATCTATTGATTTGATCAGTTTGCCATCGAAATCTATCTATTTGCGGTAAAATCTTATTTTTTCACTCTAAACCCGAGGAAGATTGAACAAGACGAGTCCAATATTTCCAAAGAAGATTGCATTATGTCAAAGTTTTTACTGTGCAATTCTTCATAAAGTTTACAATTTTTATAAATTTTTGCATAATTTCTATATAATTCTGTTGTCACGATGTTTAATACTGATTTTAAAATTGGGGCTATTCGAATAGATTCACAATGTGCGATATTTTAGGTATGATATCGTTGGAAAAAATAATAAATAAAGATTAGGTGCGAAATCTTTCACGCACTTTCCCATGGAAGTCCATGAAGACTGCTTGGAGAACCAAACATTTTTATATACTTACACTTTCTGTGCAATGCAATAACTGATTTGTTGGCACTCCGCTATCAAATCGTACATTTTTGTCCAGTAATTGGTCTCCAAGGACCATCGCACGCCGGCTTCATGTTCAAAAAAGGAGCACAACATATCCAGATAACGAATCTTTACCAGACAAGTGGTGGCTGGTTTCGAAATTTCCGCCATCTCGATGAGTGCTTTGTAAGTGCCATTGGAGTTCAACTGAACAAAATTTTTCTCGTTTCTGGAAACGTAGGCAGCCAGTGCAAGAGCGAGGAGTTTTTGCTTGGAGCTGGGCCAGTAGCTCAATCGGTTGTAAACGTCTGGAATTTGTGATAGGAATGCCAAATAACGTTGTTGTTCTTGCTCTGTTACTTCGAAGTCAATTCCGTTTACTGAAATTACGAAGATTTGTTAATAGTTGCATTTCGTTTCCTCCTGTTTACTGGAATATACAAATTTGCTCATTTTCCACTTTCCCGGAATTCAAATGCCCAGAGCATATAAAGTGAGCTGGAACCTTGCAAGAAGTCTCTATGGATGCTTGCTCTCAATTACTGCAGTTAATATAAAAAACGTGAATCCCTATCTTTCCTTGGTGGTTAATATGTAAAATATCTAGTCAAGCATAGTTTGCTTACCTGAGTAGGTATAGCATGGATTTGTTTCATTATATCCCAGCTTGGGATCTGATTGTAGGGCATTTTGAAAAAACGAAGTCCATTCGGTTTCAGTGCGTTCATCCACGACTGTTTGGTCGACTTCCATATTAAGAGCTTTGCACTTGTTCAACATTTCAACACTGATGTCTGTCTGAACTCGTTTGTGACTTGCCGTTCAGTTCTCTTCCGGTTTAAGCACTTTAATGGGGCTAAAATGTGAAATTCGTCTGCGGTATTAAAATGTTCCACATTTCATGTGTGTGAATGAACCAGGGTTATTGTCTTTCTGATTATGTTTTGAGTTTAGTTACTTGACTTTTGTACAAAAATGTTGTTGATGTGGCCCGTTTTAACTTTTAATGAAACGTTTTTGTTAATTTTCAGTACTTTGATATGTCTGCTGCAGTTGCTCCTTCAAATTTTAATTAGAACCGAGAAATTTGCGCTAAAAAATAATCTAATATAGCAACAGATTCTTGGATGGCAAGACCACATATGGAGAAAATTGTTGAGGTTTTACTCAAACGCAGGCAAACTGTTCTCTATGAAATTCAAACGTGTAAATAATCATCTTAAAGAACATTACCTGTCTTTGGTTGTATTTATTATTATTTGATTGAATATTTATAGCTCATGGTATAAGAGCAATGTATAACATATTTGAGCTAAAAAATTCCAAACGGAGGAAATATGCACCTTTTCCGAATTTCAGAGAAAAGAGTGTAAATCGCGTTTCACATTTGCTACTTGTACATTGTAACTTTTATTGTATGAGTCCTTTCGGCGGTTTAATCGGTTGTCAACATGCACAATACAATTTGCAGTTTTTTAAAGAAATGTCCTTTAATAATTCATTCAATCAAAACCCAATACATATATTGGTTTTTCCATCTTTATACACACATTTCAGATTAACTTTTCCTTGCATTCTTACCGCTTTAAACTTCCGCGTTCCTTTCGTAGACTTACCTTAGCACCATGCCATAGGTCCGGCTCGGGTTTGAGTTGTTGGTTGTTTGGACATTGAGGAAAAACAACACATGCACTGAACTCCAAAAACCGTTACTCCCGTTAGTTTGAGTTGTGGACTACCCGGCAATCCGTTTATTTTAAACGCATTACTGCAAACCAATCGTAAAGATAAAATAGTTGTCGGCCTTGATACATGAATTGACTTTAACCGACCTGAAATATGTATGTATCAATATAGAAATACCTACACCGTTTGTTAATACGGGCATATAATGAATTGTTTTTCATATCAGTCAGATTAGGACTTAATTTCACTCAAGAGCGACAAATCTTGCAATTCTAAATAAGGAAACGTTTTTGCAGTCACGTAATAGTCATAAAACCACAACTGAAATTGATTATTTTAAGTAGTTTAATTTTCTATCGCGGTATAAAGGCAAAAGTAAGAGGCGCGAATACTATGTCCTGGGCATAATTAGACCTGCAGATTGCTTATTAATTCAGAGATAAGTATCGTTTTGCTAATTGCTGTACAAGGACAAGGTTTTGGACCTTCTAAGCACAGGCGACTCGAAACATATTATTCTGATACAGTGCGCAATTAATAGTTTGAAGTTTCTTAGCAAATGCAGGCTTCATATTAAAACAATGAGAGCTATTAAAAGCTTTATATTTTTTACAGCCATAGTACACAAACTTAAATCCTGAAACACTTACAGCTATTAGAAAACACTATTTAGAACAATGAACACTTCACATAACGTAAAAATTCAGTCTTGACAGAAGCCTCTTTGCCCAGAACAATTAAAAATAGAAGTTGTTTCAAAAACTGAAACTGAATTAAATGTACACTTTCGAATTTGGCAAAAGCAGCTTCCGCAAGCAAACAAAATTGTCTTTTCTACCTATAAATTAAACATCACAGATATAACAACATATGTCACGATGGCCAAAGAAGTTTTACTACCTTAGAAATTAAATGAAGAAAACCAAATCTCTAAAACTAAAATAAAAGCATATTTTTAATGTACAGCTTATTATTTATGTATTGGTTTTAATTTTGGCCTGACGAGCATCAATTTATGGAGGATTTGATTGTATTTCTCTATAATGCTACGCGCGAAAAGTTGACATTTTCTTCCGTCCCCTCTCAGGCACGCAAAATTAAAACAAAAAACTTTCTACGAATTAGCAAACGAGAATTAGCGCATCAATTCCAATATCTTTTGAATTCGATCAAACTGATGAAATTTAAATATATGCGCATTAAAATAACTTACATGTTGATCTTAGACCGGTTTTCATTACATATGGCATGTTATAAAAATAAATAGCGTGTTGGATGATACTGAATTTGCTTTTGAAGGAGTACACAGTGGGCTAAATTCGGGAAATTGGGCTAGTTAGAACTAGCTGATATAGCCAAGCTGCTTTTTAATAGCAAGAAGTAATAGCACATGAAGGGAAAAAATACATTTTTTTAAATTCTCACTGGATCTCCTTAAAAGCTTGAAACTCACTAAACCGACGTACTTAGTCCGAGTATTAGTTGTTTTTTATAAAAATATTCGTAGAGACTTTCAAAGAATACAGCAATCTCTATATGCACACAAAAATGTTGCCGCAAAATCAAAATAATTACCAACCCTTAAACTTAACTTAAAAGTAATTTTCACTTTCACCTTTTAACAAAATTACTCTACTTTTAATTTCTCATTTGTGCGATTTTCTATTTAGAAAAAAATGCACTAGATAGAAGTAAAATAAATAGCCGCCCATCGGGTGGGCATTCAAATCCTAATCAGCCCAGAAAGATTGTTGTGCAATTTCACTAATAAAACGTTAAACTTAAACATAAGTAGGAAAAAAATGTACTTATATCTTAACAAAGCCTAATCAGTTCTTTCTCTATGATACACGTCTTTTAAGGCGCTCAACACCACAACACGTTTATGCGACTAAATCAGACAATTAATCATGAAAATTTGCCCACAAATGAATTTATGCCGGAAGCAAATAATAAAAATATCTTAGAGTCAGACATACCTAAAAGAGTCGAGGGGAATGTAAACCGCATGTTTGGTGATCCAGTTCCGGCACATGACAGGCCCCAGTTGGGCCCCAATCATAGAGCGTATGAGAGTTTGCCAATCTATGCGTCAATCTGTGGGCTATTGAAAATCCTCCACTGCCCTCAAGCTGGGTTAACACGATAATCACCTGCAGTGCCACAAAAGTTGGTTAATTTGAGAGCTTTTTGAGCTTACGCCGATAAACCTACCTGTCTAGTAAGAGGAGGCACTGAATCCACCGTTTTCAACGTTCCTCTGGTGGACACCACATTATAGCTCTCTTGACAGTCGCATTTAACATGAATCCACTTGTTTTCATGTCGGTTTTCTACCATAACCACCAACCCTGCCCAACCCTTCGTCAAGTAATAAGCCGTCATCCCTTCTCTACCTTCATGGCGCTGACCTCTAGCTAAAGTTAGCGATATGATCGAATCGGCTAAAATGTAGCTTGGAGGCTTGATGTGTTCGGCCAGCAGCTTCTTCGAACTATGAATTCCCAATACATACCTACAAATATGCATTGAATGGGACCGATCAGATATTAGAATAGATACTCTACTTACTTTGGATAGGCGCAAATCTCATCCAGCCCAGTATGCCAATGATTGAAAGCCAAAGGCACTACTATGTATTCGCCTGGCTCCAACATTTTACAACAACCCACAAAACCTCTCACCTGCCGCTTACTGTGCTCCACTAAGTTACCGATCGTGGTGCCTTGTCGGGCCTTGAACAGCACAACGCACAAATCCAGTTGAGATCGTTGGGATTTTTCCGATTTTCTTTGTCCTTTCTGCAAACAAATTATTCAAATAAGATTTGATACGAAGAAATATGACTACAAAATGAATGAAACTGGTAAGCAAGTAAAACTATATAAAGAGTTGCATACATACAAGTTTTTCAGGAACCCTTTGATTCAGTCTTAACACCATGAGTGAGGAAATTCGAGTAGTTTTGATCCAGAAAGTGAAATTTGAATATCAGACATTTAGGTGCAAAATTATGCCAAAATTTCGGGTTTTCCGTCCCGTGTTTCTCGTTTCTCGGAAGCAAAATGAGCAAGAACGCTCATTTTTACATTATTCCAGAGAGAAATAAATGGCCTTCTTAGAAAGTGTACCATCGGTAAGGAAATGTTGGCAGTTTTCTCAAAAGTCTTGATTTCAGGAAATTTTACGTTTGCGTGATTTTTTCTGAGTTGCAAAATCGACTCAAACATGACGCTGCTTTTTTCGAAGTTTCTCAAGAACCATTTGAGCCACATAATTGGTTTTGGCATCGTTGGATAAGGAATTGAACAGTCGATTCAGTGAGAACCATGAGTGCGGAAATTCGAGTGGATTCGAACCAAAAAAATTCCATATCATACATTAAGCAGCGGTGGATCCAGTTTTAAAGTCAGGGGTATGGTAATGTAGTAGAAATTCAGTCTTTTATTATTTATGAAATTAGAAGAATCATTGTTAGTCGACATACACCCAGTACAAGGGGGGGGGTCATGACCCCATGACCATCCCCTGGATTCGCCCTTGAAACAATGCCAAGGTTCTCAAAAAAACAGCCGTTAGAATGGTATAATCATTGGACAATCTCAATCATGTGAATCTTGTAACAACGATATTAACAATATCCTGAATATAATGAAAATAAACAGCACAAAACTACTGACCTGAAACAGCGTGAAATCCACTTCAGTTGGTTCCAGTACGGTTAACAAAATACAAGAAAGATGATCCTGGCTGGCCAGCGGCGGTAGAATCCCGGTTAGACGTATTTCGTTCCATCCGAAGCGCACCTTGCAAATATCGATGCAGTCAAAGTACTTTAGCATATCGTTGAAAGAAATCCAAAAAGTGCCGTCTTGTGGTCCTTCGGGCATTAATTCGCTGCGTAAATTCATTGTCCACAATGTGGAATTATCGCACCAGTCACCTTTCCAAACAAAATGGCCTAGAATATTTTTTACAGTTTTAGCCGATAAGTTTTTCTAACAGACTGAATAGTGATTACCCCAGGGGTTTCGCAGCTTCATCAGTCTGTGTCCTTCGAGGTCTCGAACGTCCAACAGAGAATAGGCGTGTCGAGGCCTTAAGCCCATTGAATTGTACTCTACTTCGTCCACTTTCATATTGCCACCACCGCAAGACGCTCCCATTAGGAACATGGCTTGGCGAGAAGACAATAACCTATTAACCAAGCAAATAGCATCGCAAAAACTATGAATATGAGCTGCTTACTGGGCCCATATGAGGTCAATATCCAATTCCTCCTCGTTTGACGGAAACGACGATATTTGCAAGGGTATAGATTCGCAAGGCGCGCCCGTCAGGGTTGCCAATCCCTCCAAAGAGCGACCCGATACTAAAGCTTCATAACATCCGTGGATTTTGGCCACGGCTTTTTCAATCAACGGTACCCAAAGCTGTTTTCTTTTGGCCTAAAAAGCCCCAGTCAATACTCCTTAAACCGCATGCGATTTGGCACATACCTGGGAGTAGAGTAGATGGCCTTTTTTATCGCAGGGAAAAAAATCATCGACTAACACAGTGGTCCACACTCCATCTTTGCACAGTCTCACTTGATACGCGCCTTGCGGGCAGTGCGTTCGAGTTATGAGAATGGCGCGCAACAGTTCCTCTCGCTCTGATAGAACAGCTAAGGCACTCAATAACCAACAATTTCCTAGAACCCCTAAAAGCACACAGATGCTCTGTTTAACCACACAACGGGTTTCTCATTGGGCATTGAATTACCTTGAGAAATGTCTGATGGTTGAGGCATTCTGAAGACGGCCCAGGGGAGGTCCCGTTCCTTTTCTTCCACTACTATGTCTTTTAGTCGTCTCCATTTAATTGTAAATGCATCCTTATTTTCGTTGGGATTGTAATATAGACTAGTTTGCATTGGCGAGAAATCGTCGTCAATGTAGCTTTGCTTCTTTAATTTGCAATATCTATGGGTTGAGAACGTTTATTTATTTTTACCAAAGAGAGAAAACACACTACCTACCACCAAAGTAAATTGAACCTCAACTGTTACTAAATACCGCTTTAGAAAATGTAAAACGACAGGGAAATTGAAATTGTAACACCCCCAAATATACAAAGAGCAGAAGCCACTACCAACAACGCCACCCACCCTAACCGATTTCATGACATTTCAACCTCACTTTCTGTGTTTATCTATAGTTACTTGAGCTTTTAATACTTGAAGCAACAGATATTTATTTATGTAAAAATGTAATTAATGCGGTCGTAGGTAAAGTATGGTACATAATTCGAGTTATAACGCAATTACGTACTTGAGACAACTTTTGCATTCGCACCTAAAGCGCTCGTTATAACTATTATTATGTAATATACGATTACAGATTTGCGGGAAAGATGGAAAATTGAATTCTAGAAATCGTACCTTACAATATAGTTCCAATGTTTATTGCTAAGCTCCTCTTGTGTAAGTCGAGGCGGATCTTCGGGTGGGCCAGAATGTAGAGTGGCCCTCAGTTTCTGGCACATATCACAGATAAATTGAGATTTGGTGTTTTCAAAGGTGCATATTGTGCAGGTCCAAGCTTGGATTTGTTTCGAAGTGTTGGGCACACAAGCTGAAACACATCAAGAAATTTGCCCATATAGTAGAAAATTCAACTCTTCAAAATCACTCACATAAATCCACATCCGTTCTCAGATTGATTCGGTTCTTAACGGTAGGTTCGGGTATTTTCTTATCACCACCTGCACGACCATTTTTCGGTTTTCGAGAATGGTGCAAAGGCGAAGGACTTCGCGCTTGTCCTCTCGCCTCCAGGCTCAATTTTTCAGTCTTGCACACTTTGCATGCCACCGACGACAGGGAATTTTTCAAAGTGCACTTTGAACAGATCCAAAACTCGCCCTTTTTCAATGTCATGTCGTGACTAACGGCTAAAGATTTCAACTTAGAGCCGCAACAAGCCTCACATATCAACGCAACGCCGTTGTTCACTAAAGTGCACTTCTTGCATGTCCATTGCTGCTCATCTGTCGAATCGATGCCTGGAAGCATCTGGAAATCATCCTCTAATCCTTGATCTAGAGTGGCAATGGGAACGGGAACTTCGCAGGCATGAACCCATGAAGATGGTCTAAAAATAAAAAAATGTATATTCGAACTGAAGAGTTTAGCTGGCAACGGTAACCAAAGAGAGCCTGCCGGAATCGACGACAACGCGCGGTGCAAATTAAATTGACGTCAAAGCAACTCAAGCAAGAAAACATGGAATAATAAAATATCCCTTCCGAAAATTAATAAAATGAAACGCAATTTTAATGCTCTAAAAATAGTCCCTATTATATGATATTTATAGCCACTGAATATTTTAGTCTACCTGTTGGACACATATCGATCCAAATGGCAAACTTACATGTAAAAAGTCATTGCAGCGTTTAGTGGCGCTCTTCTGTACTTATCGGAGCCCTTGAAATAACTAAGATAGATTGAATCAGAGCATATACAAGTATGTTATCTAAATTCTGGCAGATTACAGTTTTATCGGAAATATTTGAGGCCCAACAGGGTGACCCAAATTCGAAGCGCAATCACAAAAAAGCAATAAAATAAAACACTCACAGTTAAATTATGCTGTTATTAATTGATACCAAATTACCAGTGAACCAAATAAAAAATCAGTGAAAACCAGAGCTGCTTAAAATTATATTAACAGAGTATGATATTCTTATCATTCCTGGGTCTCAGTCAAAGTGTGAAGTAAAAATTTTTAAACATGGTTTATTTCATTACGTTTCGGCGAGACAACAGCGCCATCATCAGATTTAAAATTTACACAAACTCATGATTGGTAAAAATCAACGTTCTTTTAGGTCTTTGCATTCTTGAAACCTTAAATTTGTCTTTAGATTAGAGTACACGCAGTCAGGAAAATAAATCAGAATTAACAGAGTAATATCGATGCTAGCAAATATTTCTCCATTCTGCAATCTTATCGCATATTAATTAAAATATGTACGTAATTAAGCCTTAAGTAGTTAGAGCGCACTCAATAATTTTTTTGCAACTTGGGTAATTTGATACGCAGCACTTTAAGCATTCTAATTATTCCAAATGCCTAATTTCATAATTCTTGCTAATAATATTTAGAACATATTGCGAAGAAAACGCCTTCAGAGTTCCCCCGTCAATGAGAACCTATTTTAGAGTATGGTTATTAGAATTTTTCAGTTATTGTAATGTATAGAATAACGAGAAAATTAAAATTGAAATTAACGTTGTTTCCACATAATAAATAACACTTTAGATCAGCGTGCCACGGTTCAAATACTCACAAGCCACTAGAAGATGTGCTGGTTCGGTCTTCAGTAACGGTTATTGTCGATGGTTGATTCAACGAAGGGGGCGTTCTTAAGCTTTTGCAAATATCACATTTATCTCCGTTGATATCATTGTAGGCAAACGAACATTGTCTGCAGGTCCATCGTCTTTCATTAACTGTCCACATCGTCGATAAGGGACTGTTTTTCTGTAGCAAAGACATACTAAAAAAGATTTAAATGTTTAACACATGCGACTTGTATCATCGAGCAATCGTACACTCGCTCATGCTGCTGCTGCTGAATATCAAAGTTGCTCATGTTTCTCTGGGCACTGATGATGCTTTGATTCTCATAGAAATGGGCCTTTTCCCTTTCTGGTTCGGTCATTCCAATGTACGTATATAAGGTGTTGTCTATGCTTCCTTCGTGAATATCACTGGTGCTTCGATTGAGGTTTTTACCTGCAGAAGCAATTTTACAGTTAGAACTTGAGTTTTGTTATTGTTATTTTTGATACCTTTAGCTGGTACATTCAGATCTCTGTTTAGCTCTCCAAATAAATGTGAATACTGCAGCTGAGTGGACTGAATGTCCGTCATCGAGTTACTGGACTTGGGAAAATTTATCTGGAAAACTTCGCTATCCAAACTACGTCGATTACGGTTCGGTAGTAGGCTGGGCGAATGCGGTAACTCTGAAAACGATCTTCGATACGGAGGTTTTTGCGTGGGGTTCCGAAGTGCCTGATTATCCGCCCAATTATCCACCTGCAAAACGACGAACATTTAAGGTGTTTAAAAATCGGCTTGTTTCTTAACACCGACAACATTACAGGAAAAAAGCAGACTACTTGCGTAAGTGTTCAAGATTGGCCTCCAAGTCACATAATTGAACTTAATTGCCTATTAACCTAAAGATGACCGTTATCCTCAGATACAAATAAGCCAACGAATGGATTAATCTCAGTCCATATTAGGGGGTTAATGGCATATTCTTCTAATGATCAATTCGCTGACTGCGAATTGGATTTGCGTGTGTTGCTCTAGCACTTTGATACATTTTCGTAATTTTGTTCGTTACAGTTGAGTTTTAGTAGCCGAAAATTTTCAAAACATTTATACTTGAATCATTTTCAATTATATTAATTAATTATTTACGATTAACTATGTTTTTTTTTATTTCAGGTTGGTTCCTACACATGAAAGGTAAGTAGCCTCAATCTTTAATTTTGAAATTTGCCTAATGAGACAGTATCCATAATCCTCGAAAAAGCAATCTGAAATGTTTTCAAACACTCACACAGCAATTAAAAGCCAGAGAAACAACAAACGTAATTGAGACATAAATGTCGGATAATTTGCGGATTACTCCAATTAGAGTTGAGTTATATGCAGGAAGCCGGCACGTGTGCAACATGCATGTATTGAGGAATGAGGAAGAGAAACTGTTCTATTAAAAGAAAAATCATGCAATAAAATACTAAATTCTAATAAATGTTTTAATTTTAATTTAATTTTTTTATTAGAACTTTTGATGGAGGATTTTTGTCGGGACGGGGAAAATACCTTTAGCCTTTCCAAAAATTACAGATTTAATAATTTCAATAATAAAACAATGTCGAAAATTCGTTTAGTAATGATTTGATTCAGCCTATCTAGCTCTTGCATCTTTTCTAGAATCGAAAAAGTATCAAACGTGCATTTAAAAATTCTAAAAAACTTCTTTTTACTAAATACTATCCAGACTAGACAATTCAGTCTTCAGCCAAGTCTATGAAAATAACATCTCAACACCCTGTGGGCTAAGATTAAGGGTGAATGTGTAAGAAGGGGATTTTACAACAAAATATGCATATTTTTCCATAAATTGAAAGCTTTTGAAATTGGACTTTTATAGTCCAATAGCTTATTTGTATTTAGCTGCGCTATTTCAAACTAAAACAATTTATTTTAGCAACATGAAAACGTTGCGTTTCTGATGGAAAACACTCAACATTTGCGTTGAGAGAGCGGTTATTCTTAAAAAAAAAACAGTGTTTTCGAACGAATTTGCGATAAACCAAAGCTGTTGGAAGGAATGTATCAGTTTACCAAAAAGTGGTATGGAATGGTGGATTACTTTGAAATAAGTTTTTCTCAAAAAATGTTACATAAGGATAGCTTGTTGTTTAAACGTTTTTCTGCATTCGGAATATCTTCTACAAGGTATTGGAATATTTACATTATAGCTTGGCTTTTCACCTTTGCATGATTGATGGAGTGAAATCGGCACCACCATTAATGGATAAGATATTGTTTAAATCCAAAAATAGCTGATTTTTCTAGGAAAAGACATATTAACCGTGACAACGAATTAAAAACATTTATGCAGTGTTTCTTCAACAAGATGGGTGTCCGGCTCATTTCTCGGCAAATGTCCGTCGATTTTTAGACAACGCTAGTCGTGATAGATGGATAGGACGAGGCAGTTTATTCCCGTGGCCAGCTAGGTCACCCGATCTTACGTGTATGGACTTTTACTTGTGGGGGAGAGTAAAAGAGATTGTTTTCCAAACTAGACCAACTTCCAAACAAGACCTAATAACCGAAATTAAGGGCGCAATTCATCACATTCCTGTCGCAGAAGCAGAGTGCTGTTTTATCTGCGAGAGACAGGCTTGAGCAATGCATTCAAAATGACGGAAAACGTTTTGAGCATCTAAGCAGCAGTTGCCAAGGGTGCATTTCATCCAAAGAATAATGCGTTAAATAAAACAATCGGTTCTTCTTAGGACCGATTGTTGTGTTAACAACCCATCATTGTTATTGTCATATTGCTTATATCTTCGGTTACAACACATATATCGGTGTGTGGATTTCATTATTTTGCTTCATTTTTTATACCCTTTCTAAGCAGCTAAAAAATTATGTCATTCCATTTAAAAAATTTAAGAAAATCGGAAAAGTTAGGGGTGTCAAGGTGTGGGTTAAATCAAGGTGTTAATGTAAATCAAGAGCTATACAATTGCAATTTCAGCGTTGAATTTGGTTAAGCCAATACGGAGCTATTAATAACTTTTTGAACCGTTCTTTGACCTTCCTCCACCACTTTATTTGACTAGCTAGAACACTAATACTCCCAGAAGCAATAACTGAAAGTTTGTCAAGAATAGAATTATTAATAAAGAATAGAATAAAAGTATTTGCAACCTACCTTAGCCTGTCCTAAACTGCTAAAAATCCTAAAAATTTAAAATTTACTATTGCAAGTTTGCCCTCTAGCGGCCATTTTGCAAACTCGAAAGTTATCTCCGGTCATTTGCCTGAGCCACTTTTGTTAAATATTTTTTTACTTGAAATCGATACGACTAATAGTTTGTGAGATATGGCCGACCACCTCTCTTAGTGGCCCACCCTGTACATGTTATATTGAGGACAGGCAATACTAATTTGGATTTTTTCGGTTTTGATCAGATATTAGTAATTTTCGATACAAGGGCGAAAAGTGTCGTTTTTCGTCCTCGTATCGAACAACATTTTTTATTCGAATGAAAAACATAACACGAATCCTATACCTATATATAAGTTATACCTAATAAATAAGAAAATCCAAAAATAAAAGGCATCAACTTCATATTTAAAATTTGATATCAATGCCATTTTTGAAATGCTCACATTTTAACATTTGTAATTTTTCAAAAGCGTACTTTTATAAGCATATAAATACAAGTGAAACAATGAGCGTTGAAAATTCAAGTGCTGCTTCAACAATTCAGCACTTTTCCATGATTGATATTGGAGACAGAAGACAACTGCTGCTTGTCTTTATCTATGTTTATCTCTGGTTACGTGCATCACGTGTTTTTCGAAAACTTGAGAATATTAAAAATCCATATTAATCGATGCGATAAAATAAATATGAGTCAAAATATGAAAACCGTGCTTGTGCCTCAGTGTTATGATGTGCCTTCAAGACGGTAATTACGGTATAATTATGGCTTAAAACCCCGCAAACATGTAAAGGTATGTTGGTGTTTAAATTAAATACATTTTATTATTTTATTATTTCTTGTTCTAAACATACAGGTGATATCGCTGTTCTGGACTTGAAGCATTGGGGATCACGTGAGAAAACCACACACGAAAAATGTTCGCATAAGATACGACAAAAATGTAAAGGTATGTCGGTGTTTAAATTAAATACATTTGATTAGTTTATTATTTCGTGTTCTATACTACAGGTAATGTCGCTGTTCTGGACTTGAAGCATTGAAGATGCTAGGGATCACGTGAGAAAACCACACACGAAAAATGTTCGCATAAGAGACAAGTAAGGTTGTCTGAACCTAATTATTCTTCTATT